CTATTTTTAACAACGGAACGTACAGGGGATGTGGGAGGTATTCAAATTTGAGGTCTGTGATAGTCGCAACCGTTGCACGCGCCGTATGGGGCCATGCATTGTTGTGTTGCAGCAGCACGCCGGCTGACAGTAATCCACGTCGTTTCGTTTTGATGGCAGGCCGGAGATGATTTTTTAGGAGGTCCGAGTACGTAGCACTCGTCACAGAGGTTCCTCGTGGCGTGTAGTGTTCCAAGATGATGCCCTTTTCGTCTCAAAAGAGGGTCAGCATAGCCTTCCCTGCAGACGGGTGTGTCCGAAACGTTTTGGGTTTCGGTGATGAGGAGTGGCGCTACTCCTTGCTCGCTCGCTCTGTTTCAGGCTGATGGTAATGCCCCATGTTTCGTCACCAGTGACGATTCGTGACAGGAGGGCATTACCGTCACGTTCAGCACGCCACAAAAGGTCTTCGCACGCATCAACACGTCGCTGTTTCAGTTCAGGCGTCAGTTGTCGGGGCACCCATCTTGCAGACACCTTATGAAACTGGAGAACATCATGCACAATATGATGTGCCGATCCATGACTCATGTGTACACATGCTGCAATTTCGTCTATTGTCACACTGCGGTTTTCCAAAACGATGGCTTCAACGGCTGAAATGGTCTCTGGAGTCACTACGCGCCGAGCCTGGCCGGGGCGTGGAGCATCGGCCGCGGACGTAACACCATTTTTTTAAATTTCCGGCACCATTCATAGATTTGTGGCTGTGACAAACACGCATCTCCATACTGACCCTTCATTCGCCTAAAAATGTCAATCGGTTTCACACCTTCACTTCGCAAAAACTGAATCACAGAACGCTGCTCCTCGCTGGTGCATGTGGCTAGTGAGGCTGCCATTTTGGAACTGTTGTTGCGCCGGTGTTTGTGCATCTGCCACCTAGGAGACATCCGGCATACTATCGCAAACAGGCATGCCAACTTACAGCTCACTGGCGCCATATGCGGATTTTTATTTCTACTTTTATGGTTTTCAGTTGACTCCCCTACGTATATGCAACATAAAAGGAAGATATGTAGCGAAAACGCTTAGGGTTCCGTTTAAATGTGAGCGAATTTAGCAATACATCTTAGTTTCAGTCTATCAGAAACCAGTGGCTGAGCGATAAAGTCGCTGAACACCTAGTAGTTCAATCCGTCTTCGGATCCTGGAGAACAGATTGACTACATAAGAGTTGGTTTCCTCATACGTAACTTGGATACAAGTTAGTTCCCTTTAAATTGTTCTCCACAAAGGCATCTCTTCTCATCAGACAAATAGACTTTGAATTGCTTTGCGTTAATCAATATGCTAAACCAAATCAACCTATTAGACACTGACCGGCCTTTTGAACTTTTTTGTCAGACATTGACCAGCCATTGAATATAATTATTGCATTTGGTAACTATTCATGCCAAAAAAACTATACAAGTAAAGCACGAACTATTCTAATAGTCACTATAGGTAATCGCTTGGATAAATTTTGCAACTACCTTGTTGATGGAACATTTTCCATTGAAGAAATTTCGTAGAATAGACACCGCCTCGCATTCTAATTGGATTGCATTGGGGTGGAATTAGATTGAACTTCTACTTCCACCCCAGTTTTGAGGAAGAGCAGCCCAGGGGTTGATCCAAGGGTCTCCAACCCCTCTACCCAACCATCAAACTACACGAGAGACTTTCGGCTCGCTATATATTTAGAGCGCCCCAGTGCCGCAAAGACACTACACATTTACAAACATCCATGTCTTCTCCGGGGGGGGGTATCGCAGTAGGCTCTTTAACCACTACGCCGTCTGGGTGGCGTAGTGGTTAGAGAGCAAACAAAGACACTATGTTTTCCCAGATCAGAAAATGTGATATAGCCACCGTTAACCTCACCGTGTTTCATTTTTCAACTGCTAGTTTGGCGTGCTACCATTTATATCACGAGATCCCGCCGGATAAAATGCGGTTTTTCCTTATATCTGCGATCAGCTATTAATGATTAATAAGGAATATTTGTGTTGATTGCGAATCTTTATAAAACTGATTAATTTCACCTTTAAGTTCTTGATAATACAGCGGAGAATACAGTGGATCTGAGTTTACAATTTTTCTTACTTACCTACGTCTCAGTATAAAAGCTTTAAAGTAATACAGAATTTGAAAATGTGTTTCTCGCACATTGTTAATAGTTGTAGAAAGGACAGAACGGAATAAAGCATACTGTATTATCGCTGACTTCATAATATGATACTTTCTTTTAGAAAATATTTTCGTATGTCGCGTTTGACATTCGCATAAGTATTTAAGTGAATTTCCTAATGAATCTTTTTTTACTTCCTTGTACGAAGTAAAAAGGAAGTATTGTAATCGCGAAAAGCTTCAGGCAGCATATTTCAACGAAAATATCCACTTTGACCGCTTTCGAATGCAATTTAACGATGTTTTTGCGTGATATCTGTACGTAAGCACAGAACAAAAGACTCTTTTACTCCAAAAAAACTAAAAAACTGCTTTAAAATGAATTCTGAAGAGAATTTTTCGTGGCGTCTGTACGAACGTATGTACGTACGTATCTCGCATAACTCAAAAACGAGTAGCCTCAGAACGTTGAAATTTTGTATATATGACTGCTATAACCTGTAGATGTGCACCTCGTATTTTGGTTGCAATCGGCCGCACCAAACGTATATAAATATATTTATATATATATCCACTCTGTTACCTGGCTCAATGATCTAAGTTTCTTTAATTATTGTTCATTTTTTGCTTTAAAAATGATTGAATTATGTTGTTTTTATCTTCCGGTAAAGTTTGTATGCCTTTCGTAATTCTGTATGCAATATTTTTAGAAATATCCACAATTTTAAAGTTGTTTAAGTGCCGCTAAGCCTTTTTTTTTACGGCGGCCATTGATTGTTTACATTTGAAACAGCAGACTAGTGGATTTGTTGCCAATCTAGAGAAACTTAGCTTCGCAACAACAAAGATAACGCCTTCATTTATTATTTCCAATTCAATCATGCTTAATCCTTTCTGGAATTTTTCCGAGGAAATAAGCGTTTAAGATTTACTTCGTAATCTTTTATACAGATATTTTGAGTTTATGTATTTTTACCTTGTCGCGAAGTGAAAATTGAATTAATTGAATGACAAATACTCTATCGTCTGTGAAAAACTGTTTCTTTTTTGTTTTGTTTGCTTAATTTCTTTTATACATCGTTCTAGCTTTGTTATAGTATTTGAATAGAACATGTGGCAACGATTAGATAATTCTTTAAATGATATAAATTTTGTGCATTCTGAGTTATAATATGAACAAAATATTATACTGTTAAGTAAACCTAGCGCCAGAGTGTCGCTATGGTAAAACAAAGTGAATTTTAAAGAATGCATTTATTTTATTGTGGTTTATGCGCTGTCTAATTCAATCTAATAAGTTTAAATAAAATGCAAGAAAATATGCGTATAATTTAATATTCCGTACAAGGAAGTCATGTGGTGTACACATCAGATTTTTTTTTCAAAAATATATTTATACACCACAGTTAAAATACATTGTTTCAAAGACATATCCTACAAAGAAAAAAGTTTTCGCAGGATGAAAGGAAAGGAAAACTAACTAGTACATGAAATCTTCCTCTAATGGGTTTCCTGGAAGACTGCTGAAAATTTTTTATTTCTTTCATTAAAACGAAATTCCTTTTTGTTGACTTTTAAATAATTCGATTTAACACAGCATTATGGTATAAGGTACATTCTCCCTCCTCTCCGCATGCCTTCGTGGTGTGATTGGAAGCATACTCGACATGTATTCCAAAGGTCCACGGATCGAGTCCCGGCGACAGCAATGCACATTTTCACATCACCTGCGTCAACTTCCCCCCTCCCCCCAAAAAACTAATGACTCCACAAATGGCGCCCGAAATAAAAGTTGGTGGACGATAATTCGTCATCAACAGGATTTTGGCGACTGAGTTCCCTAATCCCCATTCAGCCTTTAAAAAAGGGGAGCACATAAAATATTTTCTCTCTCCTTTCCGGATGAATTCGTGGTATAATTGGAAGCATACTCAACACGCATTCGAGAGGTCATGGGTTTGAACTCCGGCGACGGCAGTGCACATTTTTCACATTTCTTGCTTTTTTTTATTTAAAAAAAAAAGGCGAGATGGGAATGACTGTACGATGGAAACAACTAAAAATAATAATAATGCCTAATTTTTTCAGGGTTTAATAATTTATAGTTTTTTTTTTTTTTTTTTTCAAATTTCAGCTCAACAAATCTCTTCTAAAAGTTAGTTCGGAAATTTCTAGGTCTACGAAAATTACCTAAAATTTCTGTTCCGAGTAATGGATAATATCTTAAAAATCTGGAATACAGAAAATTGAATAAAAATATATCCTTCTAATACTATAAAATTCATGAAAGGAGGAAATAAGAATATTTAATGCTGTAACCTGATTTTAAATTTAAAAAGTTAGAAATTAAAACCTATTTTTTAATACTTTATTTCGGTTCTTTTTAGGAAGCTTACCAAGCTTTAAAAGAACATATAATCTTACAAAAATATACGAACTACAACGTACTTAAAATACATTACTTCATATACAGTAGTAAAAACCGCAGGAAAGTAATAATATTTTAAATTAAGAGAATTGTTTTAAATTAGATTAGTTTAAATTGGTAACTTATAAGCAATAGATTTAATTACCTGATAACCAAAACTTCGATATATTTTTCACAGCTCTAATTACATAATCGTCAAACTTATGAAGGTTATTTATATATTTCTTTCTAGAAATCAGTGCGATATTCAAATTCTCAAATCTTAATTTAATAAAAATATATTACTCCACGTATAATCGTAAAAATCAAGCAAAAGGAAAGAAAACATTTTAAACGGTAGACAGAGTTTTAAATTAAATTCACAGTAATTATCAGAAAATTCAAAATGCATTTAATTTTCAATTATATCTTCAATAATTACCTAAGTTATTCCTTTTTGACTTACTGACTTTAAATTCGTCTCAGTCCCCTGCTTTAATCTTTAAAATTTTCTTTGTCTTACTCATTAAAATTTTGCAATCTGACACAAAAACTAGTTTCCTCTATTAATTTTCAATATATATTTTTAAAAAATAAAATCTGGTGCCGTTTCATTTATAATGTAACACGTGAGAAACGCTTTTGTTAAAATAATATTTCAGAGCGTGGCCCTTAGAAGTGTTTAATTTTAAAAGAAGATTCTGATGAAAAAAAAAAAAAAAAGAAATCTGAAAGGTTTCAGATTTTAAATTACGTCCAAATGATTTTTTTTAATTTATTTTTTAACATTTTCTATGTTACCTTTATTTATGAAGTATTATGTTCTTCTCACTTAAACCTTAATTCAGTTCAAGAGCAATATCCCAAAATAATTTTTAAATGAGCATATCTTTAAAATTTCCGATACACAGTCTCGCGCGCTGGAGATAAAATTTTTTTTCGTACAGTGTTGCCATTGCTCGCTTTGAAATTTTTTACGTTTGTTAATCAAAAATTCATTAAAGTGTTACAAAAAAATCACATCGATAATAAAACAAATACTAAATTCCAAATTAGGTCTTCCACGTGCCCATATTCTATTCTATGGAAGATTACGTTATTCAAATTTTGATGGCTTTAAGTACCGTTGTTTTATCACAATGCGAAACATGTATACATTCATGCAGATTCTTTATTTAATTTCTTTAACTATAATGCAGAGCGATAATATTTGGTGGCAACAATTTGAAAAGTGAAACAACGCATATCGTGAGTCTATGCAAAATGCCAAAAAGAAATTAATAGTCCTTCTAGCAAATTGCTCCTTAGGGCTAAAAAGAATTCTGTCATTGATATTTATGCATTTCACTCAGAATTCTATCATAGATTTATTGAGATGGTACGATTCCCAGAGAAGTTTTATCGTCTTCACTGTGGATATATTTTTCACATACTTTAACGTACGTAAGACAAATGGAAAATCAAACCAATGTGATTAATTAACAGTGTGCAGACATAACTGGTCTGCTTCAAATTTTGGTAGGAGGCAATTTCAAAAGAAATGGTGCAGCTTTTCGGAGAATAAGCATATGATTAAATGAAGTCAGTTGATTAAGGCAAAGATTTCGAGGGTTATCTGTTAGGTCAGGATACTTTCACGGAGGACTTCCTGAGAGAAATTACCTCGGTATATACATATATGTTAATAATCATTAAAATACCTATGTTTTATTCTTTATCTAAACGGATAATGCATATTTATTTATCTAAACGGATCGGTTCTCAGCACTTTTATTCTGTTTTCTTAATTTTTTTTCATAGAAGTAGATAGAAAACGTTGGTTTGGAGCCATGAGGCGCTCACAGGGGAAGAGAATTTATAGAGGAGCACGCGAGGGTTGCTACGTCATCAACCACGCGGCTTAACCCCGGACGTGCTGCCTCCTGTTCGTGAAGTCACCACGCATTATCATCTCCGATTATCTTGCTATTGCTACGTCAGCCACATGCTTTATCCTGTTTGTGTTGTAATCCTGTTTCATATATACGTTTATCGATTGACGTAGAACCCCCCCCCCCGCTGCTTTGATGTCATACTAAATTCGCAACCTAATTGCAGCATGCATATACATGTTAGAAATTCTAGAACATTCTTTTTAGTTCAGCAATGGCTGCTAGAGGGTAGTAGTCTTATCCATAGCGCTTTCTGATTGGTTCTCGGGGACCGGACTAAGTTATTAACCATTATTTTTAATTGATTATACTATTTGACTTAATGTAGTATTATTTATTGAAAAACATTAATGTATTAGCACAAGTTTTAAAAATAAACCCACGGCTGGGATTTGAACCCTACATCTATGGCATGAGAAACGTGGACGATAACACAAACCCATGCTTTTATCTCTTGAATTCTATTATTTGACCCTGTCCATCCTCTTGGTGCATCTGACTTTGCACAGCGGAAACCAGCATGAGACTAATGGATTGTGCAATTCTTTTCAAACGTGCTCAAACCTTCGTACATCCCCGATGATGAACGAACTCATAACTTTAAATTTATTTTGTTTCTGTGTTAGATTAATATTTTTTTTTTAAATTTCTCTTTTCTTCATGTTACAAACATAATTTATGCAATTTGCTTTTCTTTTCGACGTTAAATTAAATGTACTAATTCTCACTCGATATTTTTTATATACAAACATATTTTCTTTCCACATTTTTAAGTGTTACATTTCCTCCGCCCCCTCCATTTAACTTGCAAAAGTAATATATTTTATAAAAGTCATACATTTTCATAATTTAAATTTTTTTCTCTTTATTTTGCATTTTTTTCCTACAGTTTAATTTTTTCCTTTCCCTTTTTTTTTTACATTATTTATTTTAAAAAAGTTATATTTATTTTCATACGATTTTTTTTCTGTTTTTTACTTCCTTGTACAAAGTAAAAAGGAGGTATTGTAATCGCGAAAAGTTTCAGGCAGTATATTTCAACGAAAATATCCATTTTGACCGCTTTCGAATGCAATTTAACGATGTTTTTGCGTGATATCTGTACGTAAGGACAGAATAAAAGACTCGTTTCCTCCAAAAAATTATAAAACTGCTTTAAAATTAATTCTGAAGACAATTTTTCGTGGCGTCTGTACGAATAGACGCCACGAAATGTTCGTATACGTATATGCGTTCGTATAAACGTTCGTACGTATATGCGAGATACGTACCTCGCATAACTCAAAAACGAGTAGCCTCAGAACGTTGAAATTTTGTATATAATACTGCTATAACATGTAGATGTGCATCTCGTATTTTGGTTGCAATCGGCCGCACCAAGCGTGTATAAATATATTTATATATATATCCACTCTGTTACCCGGCTCAGTGATCTCAGTTTCTTTACTCTTATATGTTTGTAAATTGTATATTTTTTGCTTTAAAAATGATTGAATTATGTTGCTTTTATCTTCCGGTTAAGGTTTTTATGCCTTTAGTAAATCTGTATGCAATATTTTTAGAACTATCAACAATTTTTAAGTTGTTTAAGTGCCGCTAAGCCTTTTTTTTTTTTGATGGCGGCCATTGATTGTTTACATTTGAAACAGCAGACTAGTGGATTCGTTGCCAATGGAGAGAAACTTAGCTTCGCAACAACAAAGATAACGCCTTCATTTATTATTTCCAATTCATTCATGCTTAATCCTTTCTGGAATTTTTCCGAGGAAATAAGTGTTTAAGATTTACTTCGTAATTTTTAATGTAGGTATTTTGAGTTTTTAGGTATTTTTGCCTTGTCGCGAAGTGAGAACTGAATTAATTGAATGAGAAATACTCAATCGTCTGCGAAAACCTGTTTCTTTTTTGTTTTGTTTGCTTAATTTCTATTATGCATCATTCTAGCTTTATTATAATATTTGAATAGAACATGTGGCAACGATTAGATAATTCTATTCTTTAAATGATATAAATTTTGTGCATTATGAGTTATAATATGAACGAAATACATAATACTGTTAAGTGAATCTATCGCCAGAGTCTCCCTATGGTAAACAAATACTAAAGTGAATTTTAAAGAATGCATTTATTCTATTGTGGTTTATGCGCTGTCGGCGAAGTAGATTTAATTCAACCCAATAAGTTTAAATGAAATGCAAGAAAAAATGCGTATAATTTAATATTCCGTACAAGGAAGTGATGTGGTGTAGACATCAGGTTTTTTAAATAATGCTTTACATGTTTGATATTTTAGTCCAAAGGGGCTTTGTCTCTGAGGGGTTATTTTTTTCGATTAGTTTTGCGATTTTGCGCCGAATCTTTCTGAAAGTCTGTTTCACTTTTCAAACTGTTGCCACTAATATTATTGCCCTGTATTATATTTGAGCAAATTCAATAATGAAGAAGCTTGCATAAATGTGTGTATGTTTCTCGCATTGTGATAAAACAACGGTACCGAGAGTCATTCAATTTTGAATGATGTAGTCCTACTGCGAATATGGGCATTTAAAAGCCCAAATTTGGAATTTGTTTCATTATCGATTTCATATTTTGTAAAACTAACTAATTTTTGATTTACAAACGCAAGGATTTCAAAGCAAACGATGGCAACGTTTTACAGAAAAAGCATTTTTAGCTCCAGCGCGTGAGACTGTGTATCGGACATTCTAAAGATATGCTCAATTTAAAATTATTTTACGATATTACTCTTGAACTGAATTTTATGGTTTAAGTGCGAAGAACATGATATTTAATAAATAAAGGTAACATAAAAAAATGCTAAAAAACGCCTCTTTGGACGTAATTTAAAATCTGAAACCTTTCAGATTTTCTTTCCTTTTTATATATTTTAACTTTTTCCCGTAATTTTTACAGATGCATAATTATGTCTAAAATTTTATATAAGTAATCAGTATAAGGAAAACGTTTAACAGCGTCCCTCTTTGAATGTCTTTGCAGGCCCGCTTCTTCGGGACTTGTTCCTCAGTCTCTTTTCACAAAAGCAATTACGTGAAATATTTAAATGCTATTGTTACACTTCGCATTTGAATATTTCATTACGCAGTATTTGTTTTTATTTATACGCAGTATAACTTGCGTTAAACATAAATCAATGCATTTATATTTTACCCTACTTTAATCCATTTCCCTTAAATAAATTATTATTGATCGAAAATAAACAAATGAAGGCTTTTTTACATTAGATATGAATAAGGCCTATAAAAAACCAATATTATAATTACATTCCCTAGTGTTTGTACATTTCCCATTTTAAACTGAAAGTGGTGTGAATATTTTTTAAACTAGGCAATAAAATTTTCAAAATTAGGATCAAAATTTTTGTAGGAATAAAAAATGTTTCGCTACTGAAGAAAAGGTTGTTGGATCTCTTCAGAATTCGATGGAATTTTATTTGAAATACAAGAAAATTTAAGGCCATTGTGCGTGATTTAAAATTTTACTTTTTTTTTTTTTTTTTTTGTTGGCTCTGAATGTTTGATAGTTTTCTAAAACTTTTCCTGTCTTCCAGTTAGCAAGTTATAAGTTGCATTTTTTATCAGTACAAAAAATTTCGAACAAAAATACAAAATATTTTGTGAGAAACAATCACACAATCACTTCAAGATACATGCGGATGGGATTTAAAGTAAATATCAGATTTCGTTGGGAATAAATCCATGCAAAAAGTAGGCCTAATTTATAATATTTTTTAAAATTAACTAATAATTATACTATGAACTGAGTACAAGTATCATGTCGCCCGACCGGAATAGTGGTTAGCGACATTGCCTACCGTAATGAAGGGCCCGGGTTTGAATTCCGGAGAAAGCATGGAGATGTTTGTAAATCTATAGCGTTGTGCGGCATGGTGGCACTGTAAATATGCGGCGAGCCGAAAGTCCTCTCGAGAGGTTGGTGGTAGTAGAAGGTGGGTGAAAGATTCGCGGACCCGTCTTCCCTCGGGCTCTCCTTCAAAACTACGGATGAAACTGAGCAAAGTCATTATAATCTGTATGGTGCTCAAGACAATTTGCCAACGACACGCGCAATCTAGCTGTCCTTGCCACGATGAACTTCGTGATTTTGCTCTGATGTTACTGGCAGACAAGTGAAATAAGTCACAACAAGTATATTTAATTTTAGAACAGCAAAGTAATGAAGTGTGGGAACTGTAAAGAATGGAATATCAAACAATTATTTCAAGAGGTAAATTTCTATGATAATCGAAAATTTTTCAGATATTTATTAGCATAATTTACTGTTCACATATGGTTGCCTGGATTATTCAGTTTAGCCGACAGACTATAAGAACTACATTCTTAGTTTTTGGAACATTTCCTGTTTTAATTATAATAACAGTGGGCAGACTAAAATAATTACACAAAAATTAACAATTTATTGCAACATTCAGAAATAACATAGTTTTTCAATTTAAAATGGACTAGAAGACAGAGGATAAATAAGAAAGAGTTATATAGCAAATATGACAATATACATTTTTCCTCTGAAGATGTCAAACACCTTTCGGAATATGCTAATCTGTGTTCCAGTTCGTTGACAATAAAAGTAAAATTTCTTTTTCAAAATAACAAAATACTGGAAAATAATTAACAAAGATTTTTAACAATTTTCATCAATCTGTCAAAAATTAAAAATCGTATCAGTATCATTGAAACCATTATACTGTCATACACTGTAAATATAGTTACTTTCTTCTGACCAGTATGCCTTGATTAATTTTGCTATAGTTGCTTTTGAAAAATTCGTATCTCACTCACTGCGATGAATAAACGATGAGAGAAAGCCAGTTTCTCTGAAACTTCATATTCAAAATATTAAGTCAGACAGAAATCTGCAAAGGAGATTCGTAAGGACACATACAAATTTATGATGCATTATAGTAAACTGACTGAGATACAGCACAGTACAGGAGGTTTACAACAGGACTGAAGTCCGTTCAAGTACTTTGCATGAAAGTTCAGTTGCATCAATCTAATTCTTGACTACATAAAGTCAAGGACTGACAGTTTTAATACTTAATATCGGAGGTGGTACTTCTTCCTTGACGACACTAGGCTTTTTGCTCAAGTTAACTGAAGAGCTGCTTTTAAATATAATACCTTCTAAAGTCGAGAAAGGCATTTCCACTGCTATGTACCCAACATAAGCCAAGAAGAGGCTAACTACAGTAGTGGCCAAAAAGGAAAACACCTGTAAAAAGAAAAAGATTTAAAATTCAAATTAAAGATTTTAATTTTTTTAAACTATTCATATAATATACTAAAACACATATTCCTTCAAAAACTCAAGGAAAATATTCAGCAGTTTAAAAGTTTACATTTAAACTCAATTATTCAGAATTAACTTCAAATTATGCATAGAATTTTACTACAAATGGTGTTAAATGTATCCGTAATGCTGTCGGTTTTAGAATATAATACTGATAAAATCAGTGACTTTTATCATGTATGAGAAAAACTTTACAGTGCATGTACTGTGTCCTAAATTATTGCTAAAACGTGACGAGAAAACATGCTGAATACAAGATAAATCAGTTCTCTAATTTTGCACTGAAATTACATAAGTATATTTTTTTTAAATGTTGCAGAAGTCAGTGTTAATGTGTAGTATAAAGACAGCTCGTATAGTTAGTACGAAGGTTTAAATTTTTGTGAATGTCTAATTATTGATAACTTACAGCTTATGCATAATTAAGAACTTACGGCTTACGTATAAGCTATTAACTGGAAACATTTAATTAATTAATTTTATTATTCAGGTTTTAAATCATTTATTTCAACTATTATTAGTTGCTGCTGAATTTTAAGAGCTATCTTTCAACAAAAATAATCATCGTTTGTTGCGAATAGACGCTAATGGGGAAAATAAAAGATTCAAAATAAAATTATACTTGTTAGTAGGTTGGTAGTTACTTAATAATATGTCAGAAATTAAACCTGTAAATGTGAATTACCATAAAGAACTCTGTTAATGAAAAGCTAGATATAAACTTCCTCAAATAAAAGCATTAAAAAGGTATGTACAGCCGTTTTCTCTCGAAAAAATATAACATTTTTTTTTCATATCTTTCATTTTCAAATATATCATCCTTTCATTTCATTTTTTGCTTTCATATCTTTCATTTTCATCGTTTTCATTTACACATGTATTGATTGATTGATAATACGATGTGTTTTACGAGTATATTACAAATTAAAGTTTATAAACTAAACAATTAAAATTACTGAAAAAATAAAAGATGTATTGGCTTAAAATATTTATTGCATAAAGATTATTGATGCAAAAGAATCAGAAACTCCACAATCAAACATTTATGCTTATCCTATCATATTTTTACGGATTTGGTATTTAAATAGCTTATGTTAGTTGAATTGTAAATTAAATGGTTTTATTTCCCGCGCAGTGCAGTGCGTGACGAATATTAAAAGAAAGCTAAGCCGGAAAATTGAAAATACAAGAGCGCGTGCATGTAACATTTAATAAATATCTCTTTTTGATTTCGAGAAAGTACTAGAAAATTCTCGCGCGCGATTTTAAAATCTTATAACAGGAGGAAACCTCTCAGTTCGTAGTAGTTACTTAGTTTGTTGTTGTTTAGAAAGCTGCTCTTGTTGACTGTAGCGAATTCGCGGATTAGCTTTCTCTAGCTGTTTTGAATTAAGTTCTCTTGAACGTAAGTTAAGTAATTGAAAGATAGTAATTAAAAGATAACAGAGATATTGTAATACTGCACGAATATTTTAGGAAATTTAAGCATTTTTGTTGTGATAATAATAAATTTTTGTTCATTTTTCATCGGACTTGTGCATTCATTTCGTGACGAACCCGTACGCACGCAACAATATCATCAGTGTTATCTCATGTACACTAATTCTCAAGAAAAATACAATTCTTTTTCTAAACTTATGACTTATTTATAAATAATTATTCCTATTTATAAACTTTATGATCATCTACATTATGTTTCCCACCCCTATTATATTCACAAACTAATAAAATTCTGAAAGGATATGTATTGTTTAAACGAAACAAATGGCAGGTTGAAGTGCACGCAAATGCAAATATTTCAATGTTAAATATTTCATGTAAATATTTTTGGAGTTTTGAATGCCCTATTACTTTGGTTTATCATCTGTGTTCCTTTTCGTAAATTCTTACTCCTTGCATGGTAAGTAAATAAATAAAATCTGCCGATTTAAAATAAGCTTTTACAAACTGCAACCAAACTGAAAAATAAATTTAAAAGAAAAAAAATCAAAGGTTTCCGATCTCAAATTACGTCCAAAGGGGCGTTTTTTTAACACTGTGTGTTACATTTCTTTATTAAATATCATGTTCTTCGCACTTAAACCAGAAAATTCAGTTCAAGAGCTATATCGCAAAATAAATTTTAAATTGAGCATATCTTAAGAATTTCCGATACAGAGACTCGCGTTCTGGGGATAAATATGTGTTTTCTGTACAGCGTTGCCATTGCTCGCTTTGAAATCCTTGAGTTTGTTAATCAAAAATTCGTTAGAGTTTTACAAAATAGGAAATCGATGAATATATTACTAGTTTATTTTATTTATTTATTTATTTATTTATTTTTTTTTTTTGAAGCAAGGTATTTGATAGAAAATAACTTAAAACTTACAAGCTCTGTATGCCCATAATATACTCTTTCTCTGAGAGAAGCATTTCGATATATTATGACTAGAGGGTGAATAAGGTATGCGAGGTAGCTAAGGTTACCAAGCGGAATCATTGCTTTCCACGAGAGAATTCTGTTAACTATACCTGAAAAAAAATTAGAAACGAGAATTATTCTTATGTGATGTCAGGTTTCACATAAATTCCAATAAAAATATTTAAAAGATCTGAAAGTTTCAGATGTTTATATTACTCCCAAAGAGGCATCGTTTTCATTTACACATGTATACAAGTTTCGGAAGCATTTGTGCTAAAAAAGTATTTAAAAACAGTGCATCTTCAGAATTTCCGATAGACAGTCTCACGCGCTGGAGAAAAAATATTCTTTCCGCAGAGTGTGTTGCCACTGCTCGCTTTAAAATTGTTGAGTTTCCTAATAAAAAATTCGTTAAAGTTTAAAAAATATGAATTAGATGATAAAACAAATTCGAAATTCAAGATTTGGACATCCAGGTGGCCATATTCGGGTGGAGGACTACGTTATTCAAACTTTGATGGCTGTAGGTATCGTACTCTTTTCACAGTACGAGAAATATGCATACGTTCATTCACATTCTTCATTATTTAATTTCTTTTAATATAATACAGGGCGATAGTATTTGGTGGCAACAATCTGAAAAGTAATACAGACGTTTATAATTATTCGAAGTAAAATGCCGTTTCGAGACTAATAGCCCATCTGGGCTAACGCTCCTTTGGGCTAATAAAATGTAGAATAAGTTTAAATGCTTTCTAACTTCATTCTTACTTAAATACATCTAAATTTTAAGCATGTTAAACATACGACAATACATTTATTTTTAAGAAAAATGCTTAGTTTCAAGAAACAGCATTGTCAAGAAATGGCACATGTTTATCTTAAAGAGCAAATTCTGAGAAGGTCAATACATTGTTCATTTAACTTACCGTGACAGAAAGGGTAGTTAGAGTCTTACATTTGTTGAAATAAATATATAAAAATATTCATTGAGGTTTTTAAACACCACTGAATGAAAAGTGAAGGAATCAAAAGAGTTAATTATAAATGGCAAACATCTACAGAATGGAATGTCTTTTCAAAATTTACCGTATTTGCCGGCGTATAAAACGCATCCAGTTTTCTAGACACATTTTTGAAGGATTGCTATATTGCTAATCATTATGATTCCGCCAAGTTGTTATCATTTTCTCAGTTGGAGGGTGGCCCGAAATGCCTCTTTGCAGGCCTGTTTTCATGTTCTTCAACATACGCAATCACGCGTAGCTTGTATGCTATGTTATAGCAATGCCGACGTAGTTTCTGAGCCATGATTTGTCATCAATTTTAAGAAAACTGAGCAGTAAAAATTTCACACACTTAAAAGTCGTTCACAAAAATTGGGAAGTTTAAACGAACCCAGCGATGATTGTCAATGACAGCACAGGCGCATTTACTGTGCTCTACGTAACTAATATTCCCACACTCTGCAAGCCGCATAATTATACATTTTGACAGCTGATATATCAAAGTTTGCTTGTGAAAAAGTTCGATTGATTCTACGCAGTTTTTGGTTGGTGCCCTTTCAAATATGGAAAGTGAAAAGCAGGATTTTCAGCATATTTTACTTTATTACAGCAGGGTTATTGTAGGGTTCCCAACTAAGATGAAACGTAGAAGAAGCTAGTTAACTTGTAGTTACTTATCTCTGAGTTCAAACAACTAGGCGTAGACTCGAGAAGGGTTAAAATACCATTTTATTCATTCAAATAAGAATAACAGTGGGCCTCTTCTCGGGTCCACAGAAAGTCACTACTCGGGCTTTAACTCAAAATAAGAAACTAAACTACACTGACTACCAATAAGTATTTGGACACCTATGCAAATGACGATATCTGCGGTCCTAAGGTTCGAAACGGACTCCGCCGGTATATATCGTGTAGGAAACAGCATCGGCTTTAGTCACATGCAAGATGCCTCTCAGTTCGGAGCTCGAAATAAAAGGTATAATTATCGGGTATCACAAATGTGGCCGATCCTTAAGAGACATATCTAGCGATCTGAAGTACCCAAAATCGACAGTGGCCTATGTGATTAAGAAGTGGAAGGTGAGCGGTGATTGTCGGAATGTGCCCCGAATCGGCAGACCAAAGAAACTGGGAGACAGAAACCGACGAGTGCTGTCCAGAGAAATTCGGAAAAATCACACCCAACCGATGGCCCTCATCCGCGAGGAGTTTCAACAGGCATCCGGGAGTATTGTTTCAATGAATACCATCGGTAAGGAAGCACAACTGCTTGGTTTTCATGGTCGTGCTGCTGCCCATAAGCCTTTGATCACAAAGTCCAACCGCGCTGCTCAGTTAATGTGGTGCAAAGCACATCGAAATTGTACCGTAGATCAGTGGAAAAGCGTTCATTGGAGTGACGAATCAAGGATCACCCTTTACCGTTCGGATGGCAGGGTCTGGGTCTGGCGTCTACCTGGAGAACGTCTCCTGCCTGAATGCATTGTGCCAACAGTCAAGTTCGGCGGAGCGTGTTTCTCCTGATATGAGCTGGGACTCTTGGTCCCCATTCATGGTAAGCTCAACTCCGATGCCTACTGCACTATTTTGGATGACAATGTGCTTCCTACGTTGTGGCAGTTTTACGGGTTGGACCCCTGTTACTTTCAGGACGACAATGCCAGTTGTCATGTTTCGACGTTAAGCAAGGCTTGGTATGGTGCCAATGGAATTCATCGAATGGATGGCCTGCCCAGACCTGAACCCAATCGAGGACCTCTGGGACGAGTTGCATCGCTGAATTCAGGGGTGCACTACCCGTGCAAAATCTGTGAAAGAACTTCTATGTCTTCCCCAAGCCGAGTGGAAGAAAATACCACTAGCTGTCATACAAAGACTTGTGAAAAGTATGCCCCGGAGGGTCCACGCTGTAATTACCTCTCGTGGAGGCTCTACCAACTATTGATTTTGAATAAAGTTAGTTTTTCTTTTCTATCACAGGTGTCCAAATATTTATTGGTAGTCAGTGTATAATTAGCTAAGCGAGTCTTGGCCAAAGCTAAACACAAGTTGCTAACGTAGTTGGCTTTTAAATTAGACTAGCCGGCGAATATCAATAGGCATTTAATATACGGCCAAGCGTAACAGCTTTAAAAGCGCGTGTAGCCTGAAGGCAAACACGCGCCACTAAGGATTCCTAGCACTCTCTATCGAAGTAAGTTGAAACTTACTTAAATACTTCTTCTAACTCATTTGCATTCAATGCGATTCTAAAAGCTCCTTCTGGTAGGGAGTTGGAAGTGGAAGCAAGAATTGATAGAAAAGTTCTTCAAAACTAAAATAATGTTATAAAATTAAAAATACTACACAAGGTAAAAATGCTGCTCAAGCAAGAAAACAATTATCTGATATATATATATATATATGGAGAAGATGTCTTGATAGAACGTCAGTGCCAAAACTGGTTTGCAAAATTTTGTTCTGCAATATTGATCTTGAAAATGCGCCACGTTCTGGAAGGTAACTCCACGTAACAACTTATGAGACCTTTTAGCTATTAAATTTATCGAATTCTATCGTTCACCATAATGCGCAGTTTAGGAACCCGTTTTAATGACTGTAGGAAAATTTTCAGTAGACTTTTGGTAGATCATCTCGAAATTTTATAAAATGTGCCTGAATTTAAAAGTTTCGTGACATATCTTGGAACTTCGCATTACATCCATTAGAAAATAATCTTATCGGAACTGCATAGTAATTAGAACCTTATTAGAAAATAGCGGACTAATGTTTTAATTAACAGCCGGCAAATAACGAAAACGTTTATTTATTTATTACATTTATTACGTGCTTCGTCTTAGGCACTACACGGAATGGGAGTGATGACCGTTGGAAGTCTTTTTAAGGGAAATTGGCTCGTGTCCACGTTACACATGGGAAAAACCAGGAAAACGCCCCCATACATCCCAGCCCGTTTGCCTGAAATCAAATCCCGGATCGAACTACCAGTATTTAGCGGCTTATATTGCTCGGCCGCTAGTAGGCCAATTTTCATAGTTTGATAGCATTCTTTGATTCCGTTTTCAAACTGGAATCATAAGTTTACGACCAATCATTCAAGAAATATCAGCTGTGCAATCTTCTTAAAACACGCCGTACAATAAGCACATCATTAAACGTAAGCTTCTCTAAAATGTATATTTTAACTCTACCGTAAACAAATTTCAAAATTTATGGAGAAATAACGAACACGCAAATCAAGAAGAATATATGGAAGGAAAGCAGTGATTTTACATTGATGTAGAAAATTGTAAGAATTCTATTTGTTTTAAAACTAAGCACTCGCATTATCTTTTGTTTTTATTTTATAAACATTTAGAGTAACGTTAAGAGAAAATTGCTTTTGCCTTTCATTTTGAAAATACTTGCTTTAAAATAATTTTGCTCAGTATGCATGAAAACAAGTAAATATAAATTAAACTTCAGATATCTGATATCATTTTAATTAACTTGATTAATTGGATTATTTACATTATAGCATACGCGGGCTATCTACTTAAGGGAAGATATGCCTTCATGGAAGACGTTTTAATTGAAATTATGTCTTATTCACCTTTAACACATGGGAGAAACAACGGAAACTCCCATGCAGCCAGTCCATTTACCCAAATTTAATTCCAAATAGAACTAACAGTGCTCTGCGGTTTTATATTTCGAACGTTAATTTGACTGAACTAGATTATTTTGTTTAAAGCAAGTGAGAGTTGTCTTTTTAAGATGAAGAATGTCTTTGTGTATATCATTTTAAGACAGACGGATTCTTATTTAAATTATATATAGAAAATTTACATGCAGTCCTTTTGCCGGTTTTTTTAGTCGAAATCAAGCTACGAATGTTCAGTGGTGTTACTGCTCAGCCCCTGGTGGCCTAAATTTATTAACCCCTTAACTGCCGCGGGCGTATATATACGCCTTGCTCAGCCGATGCGTTAACTGCCCTCCAGATGCGCCCAGATGCGCAGCCGATGCGTTAACTTTGCGAATAATTTTAGGTGTAGCAGCGCAAAGCAAATGATAGCAGTTTGGAAGGACGTATATATACGCCTGGGGCAGTTAACGCATCGGCTGAGCAAGGCGTATATATACGCCCGCGGCAGTTAAGGGGTTAAAACATTTCTAATAAATTACTTACCTCCCATTCCTGTAATGCAGGCATAAGTCATCCAACCAATACCTAAAGCCCAGGCGTAACGATGGCCTGAAATATAAAGGGCTCTAACACCAATATCATCCCCAGGACCATAGAGACCATAGACAGCCGACAATGCACTCAAAGTAGCGAGCGTCCAGCCTACAACTTGCCACACCTAAAAATGAAATCATTCAAGATATACAATTAGGCAAAGCAGCAGTCTTGCCTTTGGCGTAGATTTTTATCAAAGACTATCGATTTCGAGAGTAAACTATCGATTTCGAGAGTAAACTATCGATTTCGAGAGTAAACAAGTACAAGTGCTCTTCATCTGGAGCAAAGAAGTTCTACCTTCGAGTTCTGTATCCGTCCGTCCTCGAAATCGATAGAGCCATGGTTGAAATCTATACCAAACACAAGGTGGCTGGTTGTTTGGCCTAAATGTATGTTATATTTAATCTTATTCTTATACAGGGTGATTCAGAATTCATCATCAATATATTGTGGGGAGATAGGGAATAGGAAAAGAAGGAGATTTCACATAGGAATGCATGGGCGCATGTGCGATGCAGTAGCGCAAAATGAGCCAGTTCAATGATGGAAAGAACACGTAAGGAAAAAAAAACACATTTCTTATCTTACATATAACATTTCTTTGCATCGGTTTTACAGACTTACAAGAGGTGCTCGAACTGCCGACCATGTGCTAGAATGCAGGACTCACAACGGCGTTGCATGGGCAACCGGACCTTCTGTAATATGCCTGGGATTTACATGCATACCTACAAGTTCATTCCACGTATACCGGTTCATGTTACTTTTGCAAAGTTACCTAGTCGAATGGCGACTGGCTGCACACGTCAAACAGCTGTGTTTATGTATGGAAGTTGTGTACACACAGCGTCCTCTACACCACCATGCGTTCGTTTGTGCCCATACTTTCCTATGTGAAATCTCCTTTTCCTATTCCCTACCTCCCCACCAAATATTGATGATGAATTCTGAATATATCAAAGTACGCTTTAAATCTAAGCTTCTTGATATTATTATCTTACAGATATTAAAACAGCTTAATATTACATCGTATTGTAAGTATTTCTTTCGTGATTAATAAATTCTAAATTTATGATAAAATTAAGAAACAATGCCTGCAAATTACTATATTCCAAATTCATAAAATTTCAAAAATTCACCCAAATTTATATATTGTTACAAATTTTGTATATACGTAAATTGTAGTACTTTTTGTATAACGTAACATTAAAGGCGGGAGAATGTGCGCAGAGGCCGGAAAGGAGGGTGACGGGTAAATCGATTTAACACTGAGGTTACGGCTATCTGGCCAAACTGGTTATGGTTTTGGCGACTAATTTTTGTTGCCGAGCTCCAAGTCACAAAGCTTGACGACCATTTGGCGACATTTGATCCCTATGTAACTACAACTGTGTGTGCCTTCCAGCAATTTCAAGAAATCGAAGGTACTGGTAATTTCTTGGCGAACGGAGAAAAAATACACAGGGCTAGCATAAATGATTCATTAATATTGAAAAGGCTATATTTTCAAAACTATTATGCGTACGCACATAAAAAAATCTACGAAAAGAACCATAAACTCACAAAGTTTTTTTATTATTTCAGCAAGTTTCCACGATAAGTAGAATGTTGTTTCTTCGCTTCCACTTGGTGGCGAAATATTCGTCATCCAATGCTTCCTGCATGTTGACGCAAAAATCTATTCGACGGGCGTAATCCTCCGGTTTTGAATGTTGCAGGAGCTACACATGATACGGTTTGAAATGCAACCATTGATTCAAAATCTTCCTAACAGATTTTTGTGGTATTCTGAACATCTGGCTAATTGACAGGACGAACATCTGGACAACAATGCTACAAAATGTATGAAATGAACTCGATCGTCTGGATTATCGTCTGGACGGGTGTCGTGTCACCAAAGGGGCACATTCTGCACATGTCGAGGGTGTATAAACTTGGCGAGTTTGTGGTTCTTTTCATTATCTTTCATGTGTGTACGTGAAATACTTTTGAAAATATAGCCTTTTCAAAACGAATGAATTATTTATGCTAGCCCTGTAGAACACCAGTGTGAGCTACAGTTTAGTTCAGCTCAGAATAAAAAAAGTTCAGAATACTGAGTCGAGAGTACTGCGGATTTTTGCTTTCTGACGTTTTGCACTATCTTAAGTTCTTAGTAGTTTGAAATGGTAACTATTGAGTGTACTCCCTCATGCTGAGAAGAGCTGTAGATTTATTTTTTCAGCAAAAGTTCTAGAACTGAAGTATTTTATTTATTTATTTATTTTTGGGAAAAAAGATTTCATTGAGCACTATGTGCATTCAGTCCAGTATGAACCCGTTCGCTCGTAAGAAGGTAATGGCAAATTCAAATTTCTAACATACAAAAATGAAACTAATTATGTCTAGAAACTAAAATTGACTTTCATATTAAATAAATGGCGTTAAGATATAAGGAATTATTCCTCGCTTTGTTCTTTTACCAGTACTAGAATAGAGAATGAGTAAATGAAAGAATTATGAACACTTACATGTTTGAAGCGAAATTATATGCATGATACCGATATGAAACAAAGATCAAATGATTTTTAACTCAGTTGAAAATCTTTTAGATATTTTACAAATCCAAACGAAATGTTATAAATGCTGTCCAATAAAGCATGAAAGTAACTAAAATTTTTAATATGTTGCAAATAAAAACTGATTTGGGAAAAACTTTATAATCTGCGTTAAACTGGAATAATAAATGGAAAATATCAAATTAAATCTTGTCAGGCTTCAAAGCAAGACATAAGCAATCCATCTTAAGGAAAACTGTAGTTTAAAATAGAAAGAAAATGATTATTGCAAGGTATTGAATCTAACTGCCACTTAACACACTGAATGTGTAAGTTTGCCATATCAACGTAGTTTCGGATTTACGTATAAGCGGCAAAAGCTATAGCTTAGGGTCCAAGCTTTCTTGGATCCACCTCAAAAACTGTTGCATATCCCATAAAAAAGAAATTGACTCATATCACTCATAAGGGTCCCATACCTCAAATAGCTTAAGCTCTCGACAAATCTAAATCCTGTCCTGTCAGCATATACGATAATTAATATTTTTATTTTGCGCTGCTTAAGCCTGTGAACCAACAAATAAAATATTCCTAAGTTACGTAAACACAACATTTGTGATAGAACCCACCAAGTTTTTTTCACTATACATTGCATTGCCCATACGGTACTTTTCCGGTTTGCCGGCGCAGGCGATAAAGTCGCCAAAAATGGTACAACCGATACCAAACGGAATATCCTCGCTGGTAACCTTACGCCTCATTTTCAAAACATGTCGCAGCCATTTCTTATCAGATTGATTGTTTCTTTCAGTACTGGCATACAACTGAATAGAATTTTTACCACATAGTTCAATTTTTATGCCTTAATGCCATTCGAGGTAATTAAGTCAACGAGGATGCAATCACACCGCTCACCCAAAGGCAAAAATATAGAAAAGGCAAAGCGTTACATTCATCCATTCTAATGAAAATGCATTAGCAAAGTAAAGCACTACGGTTTTACATAATTTCTGAGTAAGCTACTCGAACGAATTGAAATAATTCCTGCATTTAAACTTGCATTCCAAATTAAGATTTAACATGAAATTAATGCAAATAATTACTGAGAGAATTGGATTTTTGTAGCATAGTTTACGTGAGATCAGATCACTTCGGGTCAAGTGATATGAAAAGGCGAATCAGGATGTTGAACCATGAAAGCATAGTAAATTCTTAAATTAATATCTTTTTACAAATTTAGTGTCTTTATTTATAGGCTGTTTACAAAATTTTAAACGATATTAAAGTCTGCTTGGCTAGATTTGCGCCAGCAAAACGGAAAAGTACCGTATATACCATACATACACTATACATTTTCACCATACAATAAAATACACTCATGTCCATAAATTAAGGATAATTCGGAGTCACGCGGAAATCGAACTCTAAAATAAATATATCACCTGTAAAATCACTACACACATCTTCAAGAATCATATGTAAATTTCAGGAAGTAACCAGATGACACCGATAGTACGTCACAATGACAAGAGTGTAAGAGAGTGATATATAAGGAATACAGGCAAAGTAAAATTGTTCGCAGGCGCTTTATAAGAATTTCAGTGCAATAACCGAATAGTTGACACAAAGGACGCATTTGGATGATTTTTTACGTGGTAGAATTATCGGCCGTCTGGAATGTGGGCGTATCCAACTGGAAGTATCAGACGAACTTGGAATTTCCCAGAGTGTCTTCTCCAGGCTTTGGCAACGATTCCAAGATGATGGTAATGTGAGTAGACGTTACAGCACAGGTCACCTCAGAGTCACAACGCCGAATGAGGACCGGTATTTGGCAGTTACCGCCAAAAGAATCGGGCGGAGCACAGCCTCAGACCTGTCTCGTCAGCTCTCTTCAACCACTGGTACGACAATTTCAAGGCAGACCGTGTACAGACGCTCAGAGCATATTGGTCTATATGCTCGTAGGCCTGTCAGATGCGTTCCACTTACTGCAACTCACTGTCGCCTGCGGTTAGCCTGGAGTAGAGAGCATGCATTGTGGACGCCGCAACAGTGGGCTTGTGTGATGTTTTCCGGCGAGTCCAGGTTTAGCTTGCAGTCCGATTCTTGCCGGACTTTCATATTGAGAGCTTCAGGTACCCGTTACCACCAAGAAAACATCATTGAACGACACCGTTACGGTGGTGCAGGAGTGCTCGTTTGGGGTGGAATTATTCTGGGTTCCAGAACTGACTTGCATGTTCAAATTGGAACCATGACAAGCCAAATCTATCGGGACGTCATTCTGCAAAATCATGTACGTTTGTTTTGGAGCGCTATGGACGCAGAATTTGTGTTTATGGATAGCAATGCCCGTCCGCACCGTGCAAACATCGTATGCGAATGCCTTCAATAGGAGGATATCACCCGGATGGACTGGCCAGCATTCTCACCGGACTTGAATCCAGTAGAGCACCCGTCAACCTCCTTCTACATGTCTACTGAAACTTAGGAGAGCATTGCTTTTTGAGTGGTGTAATATCCCCCAAAATTTTGATACTCAGCATGCCTAGGCGTTGTACGGACTGCATCGCATTGTCTGGGAGACATACAATGTATTAACAATCATACCAACCATGTAATATTGGTTTTTTGTAAGTAGGTGTTTTTGTAATTTGCTCCAGGGAGAAAAAATCGCTATTTTTTTTAATTATATCAAACATATAGCATCTTTTTTTGCTCTTTACCTTTAGTTTAATAAATAAGCTTTAGAAATAAGTCAAATTTGTTTTGCTTCTAACTCTTCCCTTGCCTGATTTTGCATTATCCTTAATTTATGAACATGAGTGTACATTACGTTAACCGCTTGAAAGCCAAAACAGTATTAAATTATCTTGATGATATGCTCATACAAATATTTAATAATCGAGTTTAAAAAGCAATACTAAACTTGATTTAATAGTATTAGATAGTTAAATATCGTTATATTCTCAAATACAGCTAAACAAAAATTAAGATTCTTGGTGCAGGCTTCGTGGAACGTTTATAGTTTTATTAAACAGTTTTTATTCCTTCCAATTAATTCATAATGAAAAGATTTTCACATGACTATTCTTGACTTCAAGACCAGATATTCAGTATTTCGGAACGCTGTCATTTTTAACCGAGGTTCATAGCCATTCGCAACTCCAACAACCAACAATTTATTTTGCAGCTTCCCTGTTTCATATGAATTTATTTTATATCAAACACGTAGAATCTCCTCGTGCAAACTGTGAGGGTCAAAGTTCTGATCTCATAATGAGCGCGCGAATCTACCAAATTTCTCATACCTGGCTGGAAAACTAAAAGCTGTTTGACAGTTTTTTAGAACCAACTAACTATTTTTAGGCAGCTCCTTTTTTCAAAGTTAGTGATAAATAAAATTAGCTGGTAAACTATTAGTTAAAAAATCGGAATAAAACTTCTCTTTAAGTTAATGAAGTCTTTCCTATCAGTTTAGCAGAGACATGAATGCTGTCATCTTTTCAGGCTTTAACTTCAGGCTTAAACAGTAATTACTTAAAGTAATAGATACACAAGTCAAAAAGGTAAAACTTTGCTTTTGAAGAAGAGGGACCGGTGTCAATTATCCTCGAAAACGAAAGCGTTATATTAGAAATCTGCACCAAGTTAAGGTTACTCTTTTGCCTAATCTTGGCAGATGCAAAAGATTGAAGGATTGTTTTAACATTATAAATATTTTGCATTTTAACATAACCAAAATTTAATAGGATTAACTTTAAATACTCAGATTTCTTAATCGATCCTAAGAAAAAAGGTGAAGGTGTATCATTATGAGGCGTGTATCAAGCCAAGCACCTTCACAGGCGCTCTAAACGCACTTCAATTTGTTGCAAATCACTTCAGGTATTAACGTGGTCTACTTAATATCTAAATAGTCAGTTAAGGTTTAAAATACGGAAAACCTGGAAATAATTGCCTCTAATTGAATTAGAGAAGCAGGAATCATCAAGCGAATTTACTTTCTCTTGTCACAAGCCATGCCTACCGTGGAAGACGACATTTGTAAAGAAGTGCAAATGTTCTGGAGTGAAATCTATGAACATTGTTTTTGCTCAAGAATCCTTTCACTATAATGATGCTCGTGTACTCCAACAGAACACATTGAACATTGCATCAGAACTACTTTCACTTTGCTTAGCGCTGATAAAATGGAATCTTAGCTTCATGTGGTCCTTTGTGACACAAACAAATTGTCCATATGTTTGAAACAAGGCTTAATTTCTAAGATTAGAAGTGCCGTAGCCCTGTGGAAGACCGTCAGCAAAGAGGAACAAGAGTAAATAAATAAATAAAATGACTATTAAACTCATTAATAATTTTAAATAGTTAATTATTATCAAAATAATAGCTATTTAATTAATGTTTATAAAATTGTTATTTAATGAATTATATAATTAATTATAGTTTAATAATTTTAGATATATAAGTAATCATAATTTAATTGATAATTATTAGATGATCAACTATTATTTATTGAAATAATTAAAGATAAATAATTAAAATTAAATAAAATGTAAAGAGATAAATTGAAATTTATTAAGCGATTTTTAATATAATTTTATTGCTAAAATAAAATTTTCGAGATAAAATTTCTACTGAAATTGTTATTCAATTACATAAAAGAAGTGCCGCAGCCCTTCTTATTCAGGGTTCCGGTGCGTTCCAGCTAGAATTATGATTTATTACTAAAACTAAGAAGCACCGGAGCCGAAATCCGGTGGGCTCCGTCCCAATTTAAGCTCTGATCCAAAGGGGGGTGGGAAAAAGTTCTTTTTATCATCACAAAAATTAAATATACTTCAAAGTATAGTTGATAAAAATTCCAGGAGAGAAACAGTATGAGGGTATGAGTGAGTGGAAACAGAAAAAATAAGGGGGGGAATCTCGGTGAGAGAGAATGTTCTTTTTGACCAGCGGCTCTCTGCTGATAAAATTCAAACCATCAAGCAAATGTGTGTCAGAGGTAAAATGGGTCCTGAATCTGACTCCTAAGGATGAATGTAAAGTTGCTATTTACGCTTTCCTCTCGTTAGTGGATACTGTGGGAAAGACGATGTATAGGACGTGCTTGAGCAGTTTATCTCAGTATTTTACTCTTATTGTACTCGCTGTCACTTAACGCAAATTTAAGACTACAAATTTTCCTTCCTGCGAGGATAACTAACCATCGATAACAATACACTAGATACGATGGCATGGCGAGAAATTCACGCGTTCCTAAACAAGCTCCCCCAAATTTATTGCTCTTCTTAAAGGGAAAGGTTTTCGCATGTGAGTGAGGGGACTTGAACTTCTCATGAGTTCGTATTTCTAGGGAAATAGAGTATTGCAAAGTCTGCTTATTGTTAAACTAAAACGTTATGAATTTAAATTTTTTCCCTTTAAATTGTGGTTCAGTTTTATAAAAAGAAGTACCGGAGCTCATCTTATTTAGGGTTCCTGTGAGCTCCGGCTAGAATTCTAATTTATCTTAAAAATTGAGAAGTACCGGAGCTGGGCTCCAGTGGGCTCCGGCGCAATTTAAGCACTGGTTTGAAACTATTAAAAATGCTCTTCTTCTGGGCCTGATGCATAACATCAGTCATCCACAGTCCAGTCACGATTCTATGGCCCAAGTGAGATGCATTACATGAATTGCTTATGGCAATACTGTTGAACTGTGAAGCAATTTAATGTAAATTCTTCCTCTCGATGTGATGATCATCATTTTCAGGTGCAAGCATTCATGTACTACCCATCTGTCTCCACGTTCTTAGATGTTTCTTATGTTTGTCACGTACTGACGTATTCATGGCATATATTCTTGTTGCTGCAATCCATGAAAACAGTTACTGCACTTCCAAATTAAAATGTCTCATCTTTCTGCTCCTACAATCTACCTCTTTCGAACAGTTAAAACGTACATATTCTATCCAACCTTTAACGAAGCAAAATTACCAAAATCTAGATTTGGTTGTTTGGTTGGTTAGTTGACTTTTAATGGTACAAAACCTTGAAGGTTATTACGTGCCAGAGGAATGGTGATTAAAATCCGAAATGCACAAACACACTGTATCAGATGAATTGTTGAAATGAACCTGTAATGCTGATGAAGGTATATAGAATGACTTAAAATCTAGATTTGTTACATATGTATCAGCAGCTTAGCCTAAAATCCCGGAACTATAAAGCTACATAAAAAATAATCAGGTAATTTTGTAACAACATTTTTACGTATAAAAAGGAAAGTGGGTGCTAGAATTTTTTTCCTAATACCTCCTTTTGTACATCATCCAACTGCTTACAACATTTTGTAAAAGGGATACCGAAAGTAATACATTCAGCTTTACATAAGTTTTGGCTCTTTATTTAAAATATGAAGGACTTCCTCTAGTAATAAATCATATCCATTAACTGACAATACCAATTTATAACAGTAAATTTATAAACAATACAATTCGTCGCTTATTAAAATTTTTACATTAACATTACTTCTGTTAAGTAAAGGCACAAATTTTCTTACTAATTTTATATAGATTTTTAGTTGTACATAGCTCTAAAATATCATTTTACAATTATAGTTTACATAATGCACTTACCGGTTTAATTTTTTGGTCTTTATATTTAAGTACAAAATATGCAACCACCATGCCAGTTACGTAAGTACCCATAAAGGTGAAAGGCTTGACGTAGAGACGAGAGTTGTAGTCATCAATAACACTGAAAAAGTTAAAATTATCAAGCTTCCACAAAAAAATTTTCGCATTACTATAATTTACAGTAAAATTATTTTTAAATATTAATAAAAATGGTAAAAGTTTTATAACCTGAAATAAAAATGAAAATTGAAACATTCGAACTATTCTAATTCTTAGGTTCGAAACTTTGCAAAACCTAGTATTAAAGCTATTTTTCATTCTATTAATCAGTTTTCACAAACAACATTTAATCGTTGTCAAAATTAAGTTAATCATTTTTAATAAATTAATCATATAATTTAATAATTTTTACTTCCTGATTAAGTACCGAGAGTGGAATTTGAAATTTTATGCTTACGCATTAACGTTTGCCAGATTTATGGAAAATATTAATTTAAGCAATGCTGACTGGGATACAATCATACATGCAAACTTATTATTTTCGAACACTTATCTAATAAAAAATAAATTCAGTTTTAAGGGGACTCATACACCTTAAAACCCATAAGATGTTCGAATAGATGACTGTCGAAAAAATTGGGATAACTTATTTATTTTAAAAGCAATTACTACCAACTTTTTACAGCTGACTACATAATATAGCTGCTTTCTGAAAAAGTAATCAGAACGTTTGTGTTGCCACAAATATTTTTTATAATTTAATCCACTTTGTGATAACATTTTTCGTCATGTTTCCAACTTGCGCGCACAGTTTAAAACACTCTATTTCATAATTTAATTCCATATTTAATATATAGCTTTTATAACATTTGGAAACTACTGTGAACCTAAAATTCTAAAAATTTCATGTTAAATTTTTATTTTATTTTGTGTTGAGTTTATAAAATGTATTTTATTAACAAAATTTGTAATGTTTTCGTCCATAAAATTTTTCATTATTAAAATATTCATCAGATTGTTGGTTCAGTTAGAAAATAGTGCCCATATAAAGACTTCCATCAAATTTGAAGTATGTACCATTAGCCATTTTAAAAATATCATGCGCGCAAGTTGGAAACATGGCAAAATATTTTGTCACAAAGAGGATTAAATTACAAAAATATTTGGGGCAACACAAACTTTCTGGTTACTAGTTTCCAAAGCAGCTATATTATGTAGTCAACTGTAAAAAGTTCGAAGTAATTGCTTTTAAAATAAATAAAATATCCCAATTCTTGCAACAGTCACATATTTGAAGACCATGAGGGGTTTAAGGTGTACGAGTCCCTTAAATACAATTTCAACAGTTCTTCAGTCAAAATTTCGAAGAATATAATTAATTGATCTATTCGATGGATCCCAATTTAAAACTATCTCCTTACAGCTCTTAAATTTATTACTCGAGAATTCATTTGCATTCAAAATATCTATTATTAAAAGTTTTGGAAAGAAATGAGCTTGCTGCGATTTTGCGTATAACTTCATTTACTAATAAAAATATACTTACTCCATATCTTTAACCATTCCTGGTGCAGGCATCGGAAAATCATGCCATACTGTTAGAAGAGTTGTCACAATGAAACAACCAATTAATATCACAGCACCAAGCAAGATACCTACCACGCGCCACCTGAAAAATGTAAGCACTCGCATTTACTTCAATCTGTATATTGTTGGCTCTTAAGTTGCTATCGCACTAATAAGAGTTTTAGCGTCCAAAATCAAAATATTTTAGATTGATAGAATATTTTTCAAAAATATAACGAAAAAACATTTTCATCAAATTTGTTGAAAACCCTAGTTTACATTAATTATTAAGAATATAAGATATAATTAACATTCAAATGCCTACGCTTAATGATCATTCATCATTAATGAGCTAAACCTATGAAAAATCTATCCCTATAATAGGAATATTATTAGTTCCTATTTGGTTTTTAAGAAAAGAAGAAAATTAATAATATTAAAATTTAAATTTGAGATGGAGGTCTAACTAAAAAAAAAAAAAAAAACTCAGGGAAAAAAAATCTGAAAGGTTTCAAATTTTAAATTACGTCCAAAGGGCGTTTTTTAACGTTTTGTGTTTACCTTTATTTATTAAATACCATGTTCTTTGCACTTAAACCATAAAATTCAATTCAACAGCAATGTCGTAAAATAATTTTAAAATGAGCCTATCTTTAAAATTTCCGATACACAGTTCCGCGCCCGCGGAAAAAAGGTTCATCGTGGTCCGACCATCGTGGTGTTGCAGACAGAAGCCTGACTCGTCAGTAAAGACAATTTCATTCCATTCTGCCGTCCACATCCTTCTTTCATCGCACCATTGGCGGCGGAGGCTACTGTGGTTCTACGTCAAGGATAGACGAAGTAATGGACGTCTTGCGGACGGACCACTCTGCTGTAAACGACGTCGAATGGTACGCGCAAACACTGGATGATGCATTACAGACTGAATGTGCTGTGATATGGTTCTTGATGTGACTGAGTGATCCGTCACTGCCATGCGCACAATGTTCCTGTCATCACGTGAAGTGGTGCACTGAGGTGGATGCGATCGAACACGTCGGTCCGTCGTAACCTCCTGCATCCAATGGTCACATATCCGCATTACAGTTGCTTGGTTTCGTCCAACACGACTACCGATTTCCCTGAAAGATAATCCACACTCTCGGTAGGCCACTATCCTTCCTTTGTCGAACTCGGATACTCGATTAAACGATGATCGCTGTTTACTACGAGGCATTATTGATTGCTTTTTTTTTGGGAAAAAAAAAAAAAAACAATTGCCGAACTTGAAATCGTCGAAAACTCCAAGACTTAAATAGCGCTTTGAAGTGTCGCCGCAGGCGCGCGTTATGTGCGTCTGCGCTGAAATTCTAATCATTTGCGTATCTCACCTCCGCTAATGCATGTTGTAAATTTCTTGTTATTTGCATGCTTCCTTCAGGGTGTTGCATTTACAATGGCCAGCAGTGTACATGCACAATTTGTTAAGAAACTGAAAAACAATTAAATATACCTCAATGTTAAGAGACAAGAGAATTAACAATACCTGAATGTTAAAAGTAACAGAATGATTCCTACTAGATGAAACTGCATAAGAGAAGCCAAGTACCAGGTGTGAATGAGACACTGAAAAAAGATCATCAGTTGCGTATTTATTATATTTTCAATTATTTTACAGTGTGAATATACATGAAACAGTAACGGCATCTGAAAACAGTAAATTAAAATCTTCGAAAATAAAAAACTTCGATAGTTTACACACAATAAATATGAAAATTAAAAATAAATAAAACTTATAAAAGCTACATTTGAATAAATTTAGGGCTTTCTTACATTAATATTTTTAAATATTTGATTTATTTCAGAATTGCTGCAATAGAAATCCATAAGTAAAAGGTACGTCTCTTACATATTACGTTACATAGGTATAACCTCTCTCCTTCCTCCCCTATGGATTGCACCTCATGAGATATTTCTAAGTGTTTTTGAAATAATACGTGAAGAACTCAATGAACTGCCAAATCTTAGTACAAAAGCGCTAAAAATCCAAACGCAAGGGAGTACATGACAGTGAATATAAACTTATTAATTTTAAAATAAAAACCTAGATTAAAACTGAGAATTAATGAAAAGGAAAAATGAATGTTTAAGCAATGTATAATTAGCAATAGAACTTGAAAAGTTTTGTCAAAATTAAAATACGTAAATAAAAGGGAAAAAAATCGAATTACAGACCGTAACTTAACAACAAATGAGACTGAAATTGTAATGACGCCAAAGGTCATGTGAGCGCACGTAACTATGACGTCACCCAAATCACCTGATCTCTGACGTCTCTACTTTTTGCGACATTGATTCTTCTCCTGCTACTTTAGTTGAAAATTTCTGACAACACTTTTCAACTTTCGACTGATTGGTAAACGGCAGATTGAATGTTTAGTCACTCTGGTATTCGACTAATCAACTGAAATTTTCTCTAATTCTGTACTAAATTATTCTAAGTGGCGTGATCAGTTTTTTTTACATAACTCAGGATGATAATGGATTTTCCAAGGAGTCCTTACATCTGATAGAGGATCAGTGTGGCTTACACAATCTACATATCCGAGTATTTGACGTCCTGCTACGCAAATGTGATGAGCTGTAGAGAATTTTTTGAGGGAGAAAACCTTTCTTCGAACTTCTTGATGGGATAATAACTTGTTTCTAAGTTTGCATCGCTTCTTTTTTCGCAAAATTTCGGTGTAATTAAAAAAAGTTGTCCAACTTCTAAAAAAGTCTTTCAACAAGCTAGTAATTCTTCGGATTTTCGCGAATATCTAAAATCAGAAGCTTTTGTATCCTGTGTCAAGAATACAAATATTGAATGCACAAGTCCGATAATGGGTTAAAGAAATTTATTATCAAAAGAATATCTTGCAAGAGTTCACAATATCTTGCAATATAATCAGTAGTTAGTATACTTCAAACTACGAGTATTAAAAACGTTACAACGCAATTCAAACCGCATCCAAAGAGAAAGCCAACACTTATATCTCAGTCCACGTGGAACTAAACAACTCGCAACAATAGCAATTAAGCAACTGAGCCGAGACGAAATCGAAATCGAGTGAATGGCTAGGCGTCAATTAGTAGCCAACCGCTACTTTAACCGTCTCTGTTGGTAAATTGCCCTAAGGCGTTGGTACTTGAAGTTTTTAATTAAGGCGATTTACGCCGCGCTAACTAGGCGAAACTTGTCAAATTTTGGGAAATGTAGGTAGTGGAGGGAGATGATTGGCAGGAGCCTGTCACGTGGGTGGTCACCCACCCAAGTTCATACTCCGAGCAAACCAGCTTACGCGTGCAATGAGAAATATTGGATACATTAATAATTATCAAGTTTTGAAACAGGTTATCCAGATTGGAATAATTAAACTAATATCGCGATCTAAATGAAGACAGATGGCACAACTAAGTGCAACAGATTAGCTAAACAAAATATTCAAATTCATCCTTTCTGTAAAACACAGATTGGACAGTGGTTGTCACGTGGGAGTCACCCTTCCGTGAACTGTCCACAGCCAATGCATCATGAAATAGTAGGTATCACAATTCAGTGAAGTCTTGGTCTGAGAAATTAAACACTAAAGTTCTTGTACAACACTGAGACACATGAGTTATTGAAACTATACACTATGTACATATAGGGACGACGGCGATATTTGAGCGAAGTGGCAAATGGTGAAAAACATTTTACACTAGCAATAAATAATCAGAGCTTTGAAGATCCAGGTACACGGATCATGTCCCTAAGTCCACAATATTACAAATTACAAATATAACAATAAGAATATTACAAATATAACAATAAGACACACAATATTACAAATATAACAATAAGAAGATTACGAAAATGACAAATATAAGATCAGTGCTTTGAAGATCCAGGTACACGGATCATAAGTCTATAAAGTTTCAAAGACACTGGTAAAATGATACAATGAAGATAAAATAAAGATAATAGTACTATGTACAATATATACACATTTCACCATTTGCTGTTATGGAAGATGCCTCTTGGGCGCTTTGCTGCAATTTCTATTAGTAGGATCATAATTTATCAGATCACGGATATGTTCATATTGGGAAAGTTTTATTTCAGCATAGAAATTGTGGCTCGTGGTGAGAATTTGATCAGCTATGGGTCTTATTTTTAGTTCTTTATGTATCTGCAGGTTACGTACGAACCATGGGGAGTCAACAATTTGCCTGAATGTTTTGTTCTGAAAGACCTGTAGTTTGTGTCTATAAGTCTTGTACACAGTTGGCTCAAGATAGGCACTGCATAAAGTAGGGTGGGTCTATTAAGCTGGTATAGATCTTCTTCTTGAGACTGATATTTAATTTAGCAATTCTTTCTTATTAAAGGGTAAAGAGAAATTTTAGCTGCGGTGGCTTTGCGCAAGGCATACTCGCAGTGTGTTCTTTGAATAACAGCTGTGAAGTCGAAGACCACTCCTAGATACTTGGTACTTGAAACAATTGCTAGGGCTTGATCATTAATTTTTATATTTACATTCACAGGAGTGAACTTCCGATGACGTCTGAAAAGGAAGAGCTGAGACGCTCTTTCTCCGACCTTTTATAGCTTTCAACCGGTCGCGCGATATTTATATTACTTTGTTTCTCAAAATTGCTGGAAAACAATAAGAGAATGGAATTACGGTTACAGCTAACATAATGATCAATTACATTTGTTAAATTTAAATACAAATTACGGAGATATCCATTTACTCAATGTTAAATGCACGTGCCGATTTGTTTTTAGCACAGCTTTCTCATAATATTTAACTCGCGCTACATTGTGCGAGAAAATACAATAACTTTAGTTATAATTCTAAAATTAGCTATCTAAATACAAAATTCGTAATAATATTAAAATTCATCGAAACTAAATAAAGGGTTATAATGTTTTCTTAAACATTTATTTACTAAAGTTTTCTAAAATATTCGTAAATAATGCTTTTTCGAAACAAAATATTCTTACATATTGATCAGTATTCCACCAATTGTTGATATAGAGCATATTAGCCCACCAGAGGTCATTGCAAGCTTGGAGAGGTGGGTCCAGTGTGGAGTTCCAAATGGGCCCAGAATCAATAAGAGGCAAAACCATAAATAATATTAGTGTCAGTCCTAGCGCTGGAGTCATTCTGAAAAGAATAAACTAGTTTTAAGTACAATAGATAACGAAAATAATATTTGGTACTATTCCGTTTTGCGGACCGTGAAAAACTTGCAGCGAAAATATATGCGCAAAAGCGCCAAATCTAGCAAACGCGCCCATTTAACAGCGCGCCAAATCTAGCGTACGAGCTGATTTCAGATTGCGTAAGTTTACATAGTTCTATATTTCTTAAGACGCCATTGAAATACTAGTTTAATTTTTAAACCCTTTTTTGAATTTAAATCCTTTTTTGATATCCTATGAATTTAACAATTTGGGAATTGCCCATGACAAAAAGTCTGCAATAGAATTTTGGGTAAGTGCAGAATCACCCACTGCTTGACGCGTTTTTAAGAATTGCACATGCTCGGTATCCATGTACACATTGACTTATTTTCACTTTAAAAAAAAAAATTCCCAGAATTGTACAAAAATGGCACTGCGCACACCCTTGACTTTATCTATGTACACATCGACCTATTTTCACTTAAAAAGTAAAAGAAAATTGATAAAAATCAAATTGTTTTTTACCTTTGTAAAAAGCGGCAAACAAATAAGTGGGCGATTCTGCACTTTACCGAGAATTTTTTCAAAGAAAAGGCATCATTCATTATAGAAAATTATGTTTGAACAACCAACGAGATGAAATTATGCTTTAATAACTCGGTAGCGAAATAGCGATGCAGGCATCCATTCAGTTATATTTAGCAATTTTTATATAAATTATAATAATGATCTGGAATAATTATTCACTCTTATGCTTCCATTCAGTCATGTTTAGCCTTTTTTATATAAATTACAATAAAAAAGGTATTATATGAAATTAAACTTTCATCTAAATTAAAACATCAATCTTAAAATGTTATTTACTATTATACTTCCTTTCTTGCGTTAAGGTTGCCGCAATTATTTTTGGCAGCACTGGCATCAACAATAGTTTGGCGATTTTTTACGGCCCTCAAAACCGAATAGTACCTAACATTTTTCAGGTTAACGTGCTAGTTTCATCATGAAATTAAGACACCTCATGCACCAATTAAAGAAATTAAGGACATTAAACAAGTTTTTGGCTTAACTTAAATTATTAAACACTACTACAATTATATCCATAAATATTTTTACTCTTACAGTGGCTCCCAAAGTATTCAGATGCTTTAAAAATTCATAGAAAAAGCGCTATAGCCCGGAATTGAATTCGAATATGCAGTAGTTTCCAGTAGCCCAGTAGTTTTTCATATCATCTCCATGATTGTTTGAATAAAACCAGACTTTTTTTAACTGACTTATTTTCGGTTTCTAAAATGACAATGTAAGGAGGCATGGATAAAAGACGCCACAAAAGTGATCGTACACCGAAAACGTTTCGTAAAATTCCATACATGAAATTATTATCTGCTACTTTTTAAAATTTTTGCATGTTGGTGGCGTTTAAAAAATCTCTCGCTTTATGCTTTGACGCTTTGCTTGATTTATTATATTTTATTTAATATTTAAAAATAGCTCATAGTCGTAAGAAAATAAATTCGAAAATTGATCATAAACAGAAGGGTAGAATATCGATCCGAGATATTGCTAATTAGTCTCCACTTATCTCATTCTACGGTGGAGTATGTGATAAAACGCCGTAAAGAAGAAAATCGGATTGAAAATAAAGAAGAGGTCAAAGTTAACTCAACGGTGATCAGAGATTTACAGTTTGAAAATCTGAAGAATTCACGTTTAAGTGCTATAAATATTTCTGCAGATTTTACCGAAAAATATGCTTATTCAATTTCAATTAAAAGCTTGTCAACAAGTACTCAAATCAACTGGATTACATAAGCGCTCTGTTCGAAGTAAATGTTTTGTTAGTGGGAAAAAAAAATAGAAAGCTTAGGCTTTTCATCGCAAAATTAATAGTAAATAAGCTCGAAGTGTATTGGAATCATATGTTATTTGCAGATAAAAGCATATTTAGCATTTTGGGTTCCTATGGGAGTATCATTGTACGGAGACGAAAAAAATGAGGAATTCAATTCCAAGACCTTGGTTGGAAGACTTAAGCATGGCGGTGAGGGTATTTTGTGTGAGATGCACGTCCAGTATCAGGATTAAGTAATTTCGTATTTATTGACGGCATAATAAGCCATGTTCTTTATTTAAACATTTTAAAACAATTTCAAACTACCCGCCTAAAATTTGGGATATTTAAAACAACTTTATTTTTTATCAGGATAACCATCTTAAGCAAAACACCCTCAACGTTCGCCTTCAGTGTGTCTTTAATTGTTCACAAGTTCCGAACACTTCGCCTCAGTCACAAGGTTAAAAACCGATAGACGCATGAGGAGAGAATTAGAGGTTAACCCTTTGGGACACTTAATTTCCTTCTGTACTCGCAGAAAAATTGAATGAAAAAGGATTTATACATTACTCTGAGCCTTCTTTACTTATAGTAGATGGCAGCTCAACACAAACCAGTCCATATATTTTAGTTATGTTTAGTTTTTTTACGACCCTCATTTTTCAAAGAAATCTTCCAGATTTTTTTTAGGGTATAAAAGAAATTGTTGGAAAAGAAATTTCTATGTTATTTTTTTAGCTGTATGCTAATCTCCTTATTCTATAATAGTTTTAAATTTTTACCTTGAAATCTTTCCTAAAATCAAACGGCGAACCCTAGGTGTGCCCGGAGAGGGCTCACCGATAATCTAGGATAACTGAGAGTCTGTATTCTTTGTTTCTCCGCATCTCATCTGTCAGTTCATTGACAACAATGTTCATTTCAGAATTCTTTTCAAGTTATATTCAATCAGTGTGCCCAATTTGGGCACACCCACAGAATTAAAACGATATGTGTATCTTCACAAAATTTTATTTGTGTACTCCTTTAGGCCTAATTAGACTGCCTACCTTTTCTTTTTATCCAAACTCCAACTTTAAAAGGTAGCGTGCCGGAAAGGGTTAAAGAGTACTAAGACACAACATTAAATTGGAAACCGAACTAAAAGCATTAGTTGATGGAAGAATGTAGGAACATTGAATCAAATATTAAAGAAAAACTGCTAAACTCTGTACTTAGACGTTTGAAAGCTGTTATAAATACTACAGATTACCTTACAAAATACTACAATATTCACTAAGATATGAAGATTTCTTTAAAGTATACGAAGACTTTTTTGAGGTCACTTTTCTGTTAACTTTGATTATTGATTTTCCAAAACAAAAGTTTTACTACGTTCTTAAAATAATGTAGTTTTTCTAAGAGAAATTTATAGATATTATTGAAACACTCTCCTTCTCAAATTCTAACTTTTATTAATGTGTAAAGCAATATTTACTGAAACTCGTGTAAGTGTATGAACACTTACGAGTAGTAGACACTGTATAGCTGAGTAGTCCACTCGCCGAAGGAAAAAAAATTTTTTTTTTTAAAATCAAAAGGACTGCACGACTAAATGCATCAAATTGTGCATCTAAATCTGTTTCAGTTTAAGCAATAATTAAAATTGTTAAATTTTCATTTTAATACAGATTTCGACACCGAATGAATAGAAATAGAAATAGCGCGAAATTAAATTTTTGCCCGAGTTTTCTACAAAGAAAGTTTCAATTTAGTTCCTTTAATTTTAGAGTAAAACTTGCAGGAAAGGTAAAGAATAAAAATTGACAGAATATTGCCATTGCTAGAAGACACGTAAATGATTATTATTTACCAAAATACGTAACTTATGGAATTAGAAATGTATTATTAGCCCAGAACGGACTATTGGTTTCAAAACGGCATTTTGCATCAAATCACAAGAAGCGTTGAATCACATTTAAACTTTTTGCTATCAAATATTATCGTCCTGTATTACATTTAAAGAAACTAAATAATGAAGAATCTACATGAATGTATTATGTTTCTCACACTGTCAAAAACAACAGTACCTAGAGTCATCAAATTCTGAATAACATAGTCCTCCACCCGAACACGGGTACCTGGAAACCCGAATTTCGAATTTGCTTTATTGTTAGTCCATAGGGGCTTTTTGTCCCTGAAGAACTATTGTTTTAGTTTTGTCATTTTGCGTTGAATCACTATAAATGCCCGTTTCACTTTTCAGACTGTTGCCACCAAATGTTAGAGTCCTGATTATATTTGAAGAAATGAAATACAGAAAAATCTGCATAAATGTATATATATTTCTCGTAGTGACAAAATGGTACATAGAGCCATCGAATTTTGAATGACGTAATCCTCCTACGAATATGGGCATGTGGAAGACCAAATTTGAAATTTGTTTTATGATCGATTTCATATTTTGTAAAACATTAACGAATTTTTGACTAACAAACTCAAGGATTTCAAAGCGAGCAATGGTAACACTATACGGGGAAAGAAAAAACCTTTTTATCACCAGCGCGCGGAACTGTGTATCGGAAATTCTAATATAGGCTCATTTTAAAATTTTTTTGAGACATTGCTATTGAACTGAATTTTATGGTTTATGTGCAGAGAACATGATATTTAATAAAGTTAACACACAAAACGTTAAGAAAACGCCCCTTTGGACGTAATTTAAAATCTGAAAACTTTCAGGTTTTTTTTTTTTTTTTTTTTTTTTTTTTTTCCTATTTTGTATTTTGTAAAACAAACGAATTTTTAATTAAAAAACTCAAAATTTCAAAGCGAGCAGTGGCAGCAATGTAGGGAATAAGACATGTTATCTCTACAGTGCGAAAATATCTATCGGAAATTCTAAAGATATGCGGTTTTTAAATATTTTTGGCACAATGTGCCATCAGCCTAAATGTTTTCAAAACGTGTATCTGTCTTTAAATAAAAAAAAAAAAAAAAAAAAAAAAAACCGATTTCGCGTAATATTTCAAATTACGCGAAATTTCGGAATGATTTCAGATTTTATTTTTTAAAGTAATAATACCATAAATATTCATGAAAAAGATTAATAAAAATATTAATTACATAATTAGGCATGTTATTTGAAAAATGAAATTGGTACAATACATTAGGAAGTATGTTTAAACATTTTATATTAAGTTTTATTTGAAAAAGTTCTCGTGTCATGTGAAGTGGTATTATTTCCCAAAGTACTAGTTGCTACTGAAGCAGAAGCTTCAGAAGGAAAACTGACTAAGTTCAAATGCTAAAAAGAAAAGCTAATATATTCAACCTAAGTGAATTGTTGAAATCTAACCACTCCATCAATTTTGGAAAGTGAGGGAAACTCTTACATAGAAACTGACTTTCCCACAGGATTAATTTTGTCTCGAAAGCTTTTACAAAGTAAAAGAATATGAAGAAGTATATCTTTTCCAGTAAGCGCTAGATCAAACCATTGAGATGACCTGTAATATCGACAAGAAATGCAATGTCTCTCAACCATGTTTCATCGCTAAACTCATGAGGCACCTTTAGCTAGGCTGAGGTTACCTGTAGCGTGTCAGCCTAGCTCAAGATAAGCGAAGTATTGACGAAAGATTGACATCCGTTGCAAACCTGTTAGAGATAAGAGTCTACTTTTTTTTTTTTTTTTTTTTTTATGGAAATGAGATTTTATGAGTAGTCAAATTTTTATTTTTAAAATTACATAAGATAAAGTGAAATTTTTGGAAAATTCGTCATTTTGAGAAAATTTTATCTCAAGTAATATCAGACATGTCAATAAAATGTTTTGAATATCAAGAATAAGAGAAAAAAGGTTTTTTTTACGACTAAAAGCTGACAAGGCAATTTTTATTAAAATCAAAATTTCTTTAAATTCTTCAAATTCAAATCTTGGGCCACTAAAATGCCTTCACCGGATCACGCGTTGAAGACCCCTATGTTAAATCATCCTCTTCAACTAAAGAATAACTCGTTGATCATTTCAGATCTGACCCATAGCCATCAACGTTTAAAAATTAGAGATATTATTAAACAAGTTCACATATTATTTAGGTTCTGCCAAGCTGTTTTGAAAGATTATTTGGACTTTCTGAGCGTGGCTCCTCAGAAAGTCCAAATAACACTGTTCGAAAAAATGTTAAATTTTACTCAAAACATAACGAGTTCAAATGAATGATGGAGATGATTTCTTAACGAGAGTCCTTTTATGCAGCATTACCAGCGATGAAGCATTGCTTATGAGTATCACTTCATGCTTTCGTTTGTCTGCTTCATGCACAGAAGCAGACAAACGAATGGAACTTGGAAAACGAAGCAAGACTGAAAATGGCATGCAAAGTCGGTATAAAATCGAGGTAATTTGTCTTATTTGAGCATTCCGAACTTCTATACCAGTTAGCCCAACTAGTAGCACAGAATACTATTTGAATGTTATGTGGCGTTTGCCTGAGGCAGTTCGTAGTAAGCGACCTGAAGTTAGACGAGATAAAGTGCGGATTTTGCATTAAGATAATGCATGTACTCCCAATATTCTTACTTCTCGGGAATTTTTAACCAAAAATTCAAAAACACGGTTTCGCAAGGTTTCTGATATGGCACAGTAAGACTTTCTTATCTCCACTGTTAAAACTGCCGCTTCACGATTTACAATTTTAGTCTACTGACGCGATAATGCTGCGATTCTGAAGAAGCTAGACTAAAATGATTTTGAAACATATTGCGCAGACTGAAAAAATGTTGGAATAAGTGCATTGCAGTCGGAGATTATTATTTTAAAGGAGATGCAATAAATATTGATCAATAAATTGAAATCTTGTATTCCGTAAAATCGTCACAGATACCTTTTGCTCACAATAGTACGAATCCTGCTAATGATGTTGCAATAAATTGTTACTTACCGCCAATATTTATGGACAAAAAACATCAAAAGATTCACATGTCCTTCACTCTTTTCAAGTTTTTTCCATGTCGTAAACATTAGCAAAAATCCACTAAAAATAAAATTAAAATTTAGTTACTATTTGATGCAATCTGTTAATTTAGGCAGCAGTAGATGAAAGGAGTTATAAGTAAAGAGTTGAAAGCATCATTATAATTTCAATTTAAATAAATAAAGTTAAGAGATACTGAATTAAAGTTTAGGTGAATTATTCATTATCAGCTCAATCAGAAATGTTTTCATGTAGTATTTCTCTTGAGAAAAGATTTTCAACTCAGATTTCTTAAGACAATCATTTTTAGAAAACAATACCTTATTTAAGTAAGCTTATCTCGATGAGAAAACAGGGTTGTTTATACGGAAAATTCCCCGAAATCTAGCTTTATCGTCGGATGTTTAGTTTCACGAAAATACACTTAATTGTACTTAATTTTGTTACAATAATTTTAGTTCAGGTAAGTAAAAATATAACTTTGTAAAGAAACTTATTTAAAAAAACAGTTCCTCTTCCTGATGATTATCGAGAGTTTGTCTTCTTGCCGACCACAAATTTGAACTTCATGCAGAGTTATTAAAAGCTTGAAACCATAAAATGCATAATTATAAGGTGATATCAATTAGAAATTCCGTCACTCTGTTTACGCTACATTTCTTATTACTATCTCATTAGTCCAAAGGAGCAATTTGCCCAGAAGGATATTAATTTCGTTTTGACATTTTGCGTTGTTTCACTTTTCAAATTGTTGAAATTAATTGTTTGAATATTATCGCCCTGTAAGAAAATTTACTTATCTATTCTTCTTATTAGTCCAAAAGGATTTGAATCCCGAAGGACTATTAGTTTCGTTTTGGCATTTTGCGTCGGACTCATAAATGTCGGTTCACTTTGCAAACTGTTGCCACAAAATATTAGAGTCCTGCATTATATTTGAAGAAATTAAATAATGAAAAATCTGCATAAATGTATGTATATTTCTCGTATTGTGATAAAACAACGGTACATAGAGTCATAGAATTTTGAATAACGTAATCCTCCAACGAATATGAGCATGTGGAAGACCAAATTTGAAATTTGAAATTTGTTTTATGATCGATTTCCTATTTTTTAAAACTTTGACGAATTTTTGATTAACAAACTCAAGGATTTCAAAGCGAGCAATGGCAACGTTGTACAGAAAAAACATTTTTATCTCCAGCGCGTGAGTCTCTGTATCGGAAATTCTAAAGATATGCTCGTTTTAAAACTATTTTGCGATATTGCTGTTGCACTGGATCTTATGGTTTAAGTGCGAGGAACATGATATTTAATAAAGAAAGGTAACACACAAAATGCTAAAAAACGCCCCTTTGGACGTAATTTAAAATCTGAAACATTTCAGATTTTGTTTTTTTAAAGAAATTAAATAATGAAGAATCTGCATGAATGTATGTATGTTTCTCGCCTTGTGATAAAACGACGGTACCTAGAGCCATCAAAATTTGAATAACGTAATCTTCCATGGCATATCTAGCGCTAATTGGAATTTGAAATTTGTTTTATTTTTCTATTTCATATTTTGTAACACTTCAATGAATTTTCGATTAACAAACTAAACAACTTCAAGACATTAACAAACAAACAAGCGAGCAATGGCAACATTGTACGGAAGGAAAAATATTTTTATCTCCAAGGCGCAGGACTCTATATCGGAAATTCTAAAGATATGCTCATTTAAAAATTATTTTACGATATTGCTCTTGAATTAAATTTTATGGTTTAAGGGCAAAGAACGTGATATTTAATAATAAAAGGTAAAAAACAAAATTTTATAAAAAGGCCCCTTCGATGTAATTTAAAATCTGAAACATTTCAGGTTTTTTTATTATTTTTCGAATTTTTTAGTGAAAGAAAACTGCCAATTACTTTCCATAAAATGATGTTTTTTTTTTTATGTGAATTCAGTCTTTTCTTGGTGTCTGAAAGAACACTTCATAAAATGGCTGAAACTTTCTGAATTCTAGGTTTTAAATACGTACACTAGTTCAAGTGACATTTTGACTTGAACATTTAATGATCAACGATTTTTACACATATGAAAAGGAACGACAAAAACACTAATATTTACAGGAAATTTGTCACAATAAATAAAAATAAAAAGTTATTTCATCTTTATAACATCATACAACTTCAATTAAAATTAAAATACACCTAAGGTTGTCATGCCTCATTTGCGATTTTTCACGAAACAATTCTGTCGAATGGCGTGCAGCGCTATCTGTCGGTCGTGAAAGATGACATCCCACATTATTATAAATTATTATATATAAACCTTTAGATTAGCTTTTCTGCAGTTAAAAAGAGGGCTCTGTATCTAAATCTATCCTGCAAATTTACGAATATTACGCTGAATCTTGTTGTTTTACCACCTCTAATAATATAAATCCTGTCAGTTCAATTGCAATAAAATACATAACATAAATTTCACTGTATTTTTTCAAATTTGATTTATCCTTCTTCATTTGTACCTTATTTTCGCCACTTTTAGGTTATTTACACTAATAAACAAAATATTTTACTTATCCATCGTCATAGATCTTCACGCTCTCTCCGAAGTGCCGTATCGTCATGTACACAAAGTTTAAATTAATTTCTTTCACAATTTTCATTACACTTCTGGGAAAAATATTTTGGCTTTCGTTTTCTAAGTCATGGCATAGAATCACTGTGGGGTATTTATTGTGATTTCTTTAAAAAGATTCCAACACACATGAAATGCGAACACATGTCAACAGGAGAAATTCTCCATACTCAGTGATTCTGCATCAAATCTGACGGCTATCGCAAGTCAAAACAGCCGGAGTCCATTGGTATACAAAATTCAGAAACAGCTTCTGACAATGCCTATTTCGCAAAGACCCACTTTAAAATGGGTTCCCGCTCACACAGGGATTCAAGGCAATGAAGCCGCTGACCTACTGGCCAAGCAGGCAGCCAACTGTACGGATATATTAGAAAGACCAACTAAACTTCCTTGGTCTCATATTAAGCGAACAACTTTGACAAGTCTACTACAAAATTGGCAAAGTAGATGGACAGAGGCAGAGGTAGGACGAAGGACATTTCGCTTACTGCCAAAAGTTAACATGGAAATAAAGACCCACTGTGCTAGCCTAACACAGTTCTTGACAGGTCATGGACCATTCCCAGTATACCTGAACAGATTCAGACTTAGGGATACTCCTTTCTGCGAATGCGGAGAGGAAGGCGACACGGACCATTATTACTTCCATTGTGTACATACAAGAACCTGGCACTTGAAGAAATCAGCGGACTGTGCTTGGGCAATGTGGACGACTAACACACTCAAAAACAGAATAGCCCTTGATAAAATAGAGAAAATCTCAGAACACTGCCTAAGCAGAAACAACCGTGGATAATATTATAATGTTTCAAAAGTTCAGAACTTAAAGCAGATAACCAAAATAACTGTTAGTGCCTTGCAGTTAACAATATGTAAAAACTGTTATTAGTTTATAATATTCAACCTTGTTACTCTGGAGTCTTCCCCGCCGTGATGGTATATAATTCCGTTTGGTTCATGTCCGTGGTCGGAAGCCATCATAGCGGTGCACTCACTCACTCGCTCGCCAATACTGCAAATTGGATTGAAGCTAGTTCTAGTCAGAAGAATAAAGCATCATCCTTATTTTTTACTTCAGTAAATGTAGCCAACAAAGGCATATGTTTGCCAGTAATAATCTCTGGAGTTCATTTTTCATTTTTACATATCTGATTAAAGGTTGAGAAATAGCAGTTTTCAGTAGGAACACAGAAAAGGCTCGGTTCAAATGTTCATTTCATACAATTTAACATGTTCAGAATTCTCTGGCATAACATCAGTTTTTATCGGGGTAGAATTTTTTAACGTATTACATGCTCCGCTCTTAGGCACTGCACGGAAAGAGAGGGATGCCCCTTGGAGGTCTTTAAAGGGAACTGTCTCGTATCCATATTATACATGGTGAAAAGCACAAAAACGCCCATATAGCCAACCCTTTTGCTGGGATTTTAATTCCAGACCGAACTACCGGTGTTCAGCGGCTTTTACCGCTCGGCCACTGGTGGATTTAGTCGTAGAATTTGAAGATGAAATGACCTGACCAATACGTTGGCGACTTTTTTTATTTGGAAAATTGTTTTCATCAGAACTTTAGATTTCAGGGTTTTTTTTAATCGCTTTCCCTTGCGTTTTGAAATTTAAAAGGCTTCGAATTTCTTCTCAGTAATTCATAGACTGCTATGTGTGACACATCAAATTTTTTTACGAAAATTTGCATGATTACCCAGCGTTACTTTTAATCATTTTCAGAAGCTTCTACCTTTAACTTGTAAGAATGCTTCTACCTTAGCCTTGGCTTCGCTTTTTCTTAACGAATATATGATATGGTCTAACCTTACGTTCATTCAAGTTGATCTCAGTGTGTTATTAATTAAACAACTTGAAAGAACCCCCTCCAAAAAAAAATTGAAACCCGTCCAATGATGATCTGTGCAATGACCTTTCTCTTAAGGGAAATGAGATTTGACTCAGAACAGTAATTGATGAACAGAATTTCATAAGTGAGTTCACGTTGTTAAAATTAAATTAACAAAAGCATGTAAATTGGTTTGTAATAAATTTATGAGAATTTATATTGTCTTATTTCTTTCGTTACATACGTTACTTCGTTCAGTTGGCATTCTTTTCGTGGAAAACCAGATAATTTTCAAAAATTCGCATAAATAGTTTCTATTGAGGAAAAAATATATGCTTAGCCTACGTACAAAGATATGATCACAAAAATTTTCATATGTCAACAAAGATCGAACATCAAACGAGATGAGTATTTATTAAGTGGTTATCTAAAGCAAAACATACTTGAGAGCTATTGTAGGCATACAATTATCCCGTACTACCCATTTCCGTTCCAAACAATAATTGAGACCTCGAAGAAATTAATATTGTTTAATAATTTTTATCTATTAGGCTGCTGATAAAATCACTTACACTTTAGGAAATGTTGCTTTGAAAAAAGGCAACTCATTATGAAAAATTATTCAAGAAATAACTGCCTTAGAAGAGGTGATTCCTTCGAGGACTTAAGAGGAAACTACTAAACACGTCCCGTCACGTCACATCACGTTATACAAAGGAAGAAATAACGAAACGTCCCATGCCGCCAATTGGCTCAGTTGCCCAAAAGTGGAACCCAAAAAGAACTACTAGCGCTTAAGGGTCACTCGTTGCTGGTAGGCGCTGCCCTAAAATGATCATGCTAAGCATTACTAGCAAGTTAAATACATTCTGCCATCCTTGTAGTTTCTGAGACTTACAACAGTTATGTACTATAGTGAAAAAAATCCTTTTCAACCCTTAATCATTTGGTGCATCTAATGCACAAATGAAAATTTGTCCAGCACAGCTTAGCATGACCTTGAAACACGCGTGTTAGCATGACCTTCAGCAAAGCTTAGTATGACCTTGAAACACACATGCTAATATAACGAGCAATCCTAGTATGACCTTAAAAAACACATGCTAATATGACGAGCATATCCTAGTATGACCTTGAAACACATATGACCTTGAAATACATATCATGACCTTGAAACTCATATCATGACCTTGAAAACCATATCATGACCTTGAAAACCATATCATGACCTTGAAAACCATATCATGACCTTGAAACACGCGTCTGCGGCATAAAGTAGAATTGTTAAAGATTAAATCTTTCCAGAACTCTTACATATTCAATGAGCTTTATGGCAAATTCTCTTACAAACGGTTAACAGGTTCCTAAAAGGTCAACAATGCGGCCGAGCGGTAAAAGCCGCAGACCGCTATTCGGGATTCGAATCCCTGCGGACGGGCTGACTGCATGGGCGTTTTCGTGATTTTCCCTATGTGTAACGTGGATACGAGCCAGTTTCCGTTAAAAAGTCCTCCACGGTGCCATCCTCCTTTTCCATGTAGTGCCAAAAGGCCGGAGCACATAATAAATAAAAATGCAATCATCTAATCATCAAAATACTAACAACTAGATGTAAATAGATGGTAAAAGAGAACAGATTACGACAAACTTTGGTGAAAAGGTTTATTTGAAGAATGACTGTACATTAAGGTATACTGATACAAAATAAAGTAATTACATGAATTTAAGTGAGGATTTACCATACTTGGCTTAAATTAGTATTGCTTCTTTATTATTTTATATTTATACATTTTAAAACCTTTTGCTCTAGCGTATAAAAAGATAAGAAAAATTCTGCATTTTTGTAGCTTCGTTTCAGGTGTAAAAGAACTGCTGACTTAATTAAGAGTTAAAAAAATGGCGCCCTCATTTGCGACGTTTCTGAACGAGAATTATTGAAGATATCAAGTAAAAGCACTAACCTCATAAAAAAGAAAGAACCGACTGGAATTGTGAAGTTCTCGATTACTGCTAAAGGTAGGTACCCATCGAATTCTTCTTCCACTCCAAGCAAGTGACCTACATAAATAGTAAAATAAAAAATTCAAGACAGGGAAATCAATACACACCGTAGCCACAAAAGTCCTTACCTAGACTATTTTGGCAACCGTTGGTAGTAGACATGTAATTTCAACTACAAAAAGGTCTCAAATGGCGGAGAGAGTCATGTTTAGGCATTGTTAAATTTAAAGAGATCAATTTTATAGAAATTACAATTTTTATTGAGGAGTTTTTTATACAATTACTAGATGATTATTCTAAAATAATAATAAAGCTTTGTGAGAATATTAGTAACGTATTTTTTAGACTTTGCAAACTTATAAATTCTTATATATTATTTGTGTGAAAATTCTTTAGGCATTTCAAAAATAGCAAAGTTTTAATTAAGGAGACGAGTAACTTGCAAAAGAATAGAAAAAGGAAGAAAATCAATCTTGAATTATTCTAATTTATTTATTAACCGACCCCTCTATGCAAATTCAAAATGATATCAGAGATGGCAAATTTTGAAAAGTGTTTCCTAAATACAGTACAACTCCATCTATCCGAACTCCGAATCGCTTTCAGAATTTAAGAGAGGGAAAAGACAGGAAAAAATGAGGATGACGTGTCGCTTGAGGAATTAAGAAACAATTCTTTTGAAAATTCCTGGATGTTTAGAAGTTAGTTCTGAGGATACAGCAGAAAGGATGGTGTGCGATTCATCAAAACCTGGGTTACAAATTCTAAATGATGAACTTATTGAAAGTGTGATAGAAGAAAGTGTCGAGAAAGAAGATGACCTTTTAATGTTGAAGTTGAAGCAGACACGGGAACATCAGCTAGTGACGCGTTTGGCAGCCTTGAAACTGCGTTGAAGTGGATAGAGCGTCAGCTCCAGTGTGACCACATGCAACTTATTATCAAGCGGATGTACGACATGGCTACCCGAAAACGGATGAAGACATTCAAACAGTTTACTTTGACCGAAATGTTCAGCAAGTAACGACTTTCAGCACTTCAATTACAGTACAGTAAGCTATATAACATATATGTAAAAGTGTTGCCCTATCGTTTTAATTAATTAAAACTTCTTTAAAAAATAGTTTTTTTCTCTCATTTTCAACCTACAGTACATACAGTAATTAATTAAAGTGTACGATGACCTTTTCTTCGGAAAAAATTCAATTATCCGAATGCGTACCGGTCCCAATTGATTCAGACAACTGGAGTCTACAGTATATGCGGCTTTTGTGGACACAGTGTATAATCAGCTTTTATTTGAATAAAAATCGGCATATTTTGAAAAAATGAAAAATTAAAGTCGCGTTACTCCTAACAGTAATTTTTTTCGGTACTATTCGGTTTCTAGGGCCGTAAAAATTCGCCAAACTATTGTTGATGCCAATACTACCAAAAATAATTGCGGCAACCATAATAATTGTGGCAAGAAAGGAAGTATAACAGTAAATAACTATTTAAGATTGATGTTTTAATTTACATGAAAGGTTAATTTCATATAATACTATTTTATTATTATAATTTATATGAAAAAGGCTAAACATGACTGAATGGAAGCATAAGAGTAAACAACTATTTCAAATCATTATTATAATTTACATATAAATTGCTAAACATAATTGAATGGATGCCTACATCGTTATTTCCCTACTGACTTACCGCTAAAGCATAGATGAAATTATGCTTTAGCGGTAAGTCAGTAGGGATCATTTCATCTCGTTGGTTGTTCAAACGTAATTTTCTATAATGAATGATGCCTTTTCTTTGAAAATATTCTCTGTAAAGTGCAGAATCGCTCACTTATTTGTTTGCCACTTTTTACAAGAGTAAAAACAATTGGATTTTCGTCAATTTTCTTTTACTTTTCAAGTGAAAATAGGTCGATGTGTACATAGATAAAGTCAAGGGTGTGCGCAGTGCCATTTTTGCGCAATTCTAGGATTTTGTTTTTAAGTAAAAATAGGTCGATGTGCACATGGATACCGAGTACATGCAATTCTTAAAAACGCGTCAAGCAGTGGGTGATTCTACACTTTACCCAAAATTCTATTGCTGACTTTTCGTCATGGGCAATTCCCAAATTGTTAAATCCATAGGATATCAAAAAAGAATTTAAAAATTAAAGTAGTATTTCAATGGCGTCTTAAAGAAATATAGAACTATATAAACTTACGCAATCTGAAATCAGCGCGTGAGCTAGATTTGGCGCGCTGTTAAATGGGCGCCTTTGCGCGTACATTTTCGCTGCAATTTTTTTAAGGCTCTCGAAACCGAACCTTTTTTGCTTTTGAAAAAGGTACTCTTCAAGTTTCTAGTTGGCCTAAGACCTTTTACCTGATGCAAATAAAGAACATCTATTAGCTTACTAATATGAATTTTATATCAAATTTATATCAGTCAGAAACCACGCTGTACCTTGAGTCGTTATGCAATCTCTTCGATTTCTTATAATGGTGATAGTTTTTTTATATCAAATTTCATAGTTTTGTGTAAGTGTTTTGTAATTTTTGAATAAATATGCTCTTTTTGTTATTAAAAACAAAATAATAATAAAATATGTAAATTAAAATGCATTTTTTGCGGTCTTCGTAAGTACTTTGAAAAGGGTAAGAACCATAAGTCTTTTTTCATAACGAATTAATTCTTATTTAACCTCGCTTTTTCATTTAAATTTCAACGAGTTTCAAAAACCTCTATGTAAATTTTCTACAAAACGAAACAAAGTTATTCCTTTCTTTCTACAAATTAGAGATGCTAGAGATACTGAAGCAACAAGAGTCAGCGTAAGTTGCACAAATTTGCATGGCGAGTTTCCAAAGTTATAACAAAACTTCCTTCTTCAGTTGATGATTAAGGAGAAGCCCGAGATCAAGCGATAACAATAGACTGGGAAAATAGAGCTAAGATAAGGATAGCTAAGATAAGCACCAGCTATAGATAAAAAGGAAAAGAGTTATGAAATTTCTTTAAAAATTGTAGGTAAAGAAGAATTGGGATCATTAACCCACTAGCTGCGTATTCCGCGATTTCTATGTGCAATGTAGAAGTAGCAAAATTTGCGCAACCCTAGATTTCCGCGGGGATGTTTTTTTCCCCGTTATTTAACTGTGCAACCCGCTCTTTTTCTGTTCATGGTTTTATTTTGGCTTTTCTGTGATGTTTAATAGTTTATTCAGATCTGGATCAACATATGGCGTTAATTGTCCATATTTCTCCGAAATAGACAAGCATGTTTTGCAACATTTTTCGCGCTCTATTCAAAGCTCCAAGATGTCTGTAGTTCAACTCTTAATCCATGAGACTAACTTCTAGACATTTTGCTAGCCCCAAATCCCATCAAGATAGAGCCTCGTAGACAGTGCACTGTTTGTTGATAAACTGAAATTGGCAAAAAAAGAAGCGGGAATTTGGTGCATTTGCCTAGAGCCTTATTTCGAAGTTTACCATATTAAACTTCATTTTTAATAAATTTTTATAAGAATTTTGCATGTTTTCATTAGAGAATACGTTTTACCTTTGTGTTTCATAAAATAAATCATCATTTAATCAAGATTAATTTTCATTCTTTTATATGATCAGTCTTCAGTTTAAATTTTCCGACAACCTTTATTTACGATCTAATTCTATAATGAAAAAAAAATCTTAAAAACATTTTGTACATTTTAATCCCAAAATATATGTAGATTTGAAATATGTAATAAAAAATACGTAATTTTTGAACCTATTTTGATAAAATAAATTACGCAGCGAGAGGGTTAATTGGAAAATTTTTATAAATGGGAAAAGCCTTTTTAAAATCCAATTCGCCAACAGTTACTTTTCGGGGGAAGGAGGAAAAATTTCGTTATAGAAAAATGGGAAATGAACTTCTTTAACCAACAATGTTGGGCAGTAGCGAATACATGTGAATCTATTTCCTTAGTATATGTTTTATGGTTCTTAAACCTAAATTTCAAGGCTGCCTTATTTTGAGTAACTGCAGAGATTCGGAGGAATATCATAAATGCGAATGTTTATATCATGTGGCGAGTTAAAGAAACAAGCCATGTTTGTTTACATTATACTACACTTTCCTCCCCCCCCCCGAGTGAGTTATGTTTCTCTCATTTCGAGTAGAAGGTCAAATCTACATGCATCTCCAATCCTATGGAGATGCAGTGCCATTTTGTGGAAAAATTTATAGTTTTTAAAACGTTCCAAAACACTGGCACAAATGTGTGATGGCCGGGGATGAAAGGGAAAAGGCTCTGGCACGCCAACTTTGAATGAGAGCGTTCCTTGCTGGCACGTATGCATGATAATCGGCACGAAGGGGTTAAAATAATATGTATGGCATCTTGCATAAAGAGTTAAAAACTTACTGGCGAATTTAAAAATAAAAATATATACTTACGATACTTAAGGTACTTCCATGTATCTGTGTAAAAGTAGGTATGTCCCAAAATAATCCAAGTGGCTGACAAGAACCGAATGCCGTGAAAGCAACCAAGAGCTCCACTTTTACCACCAGAATCTCCGAACAATTTCTCGGTATTTGAATACAAAGAGAATGCTTTGAGCGCTCTTAATAGCGAGTCTAAAAGTGCAATGTCCCATAATTAATTACTGAAGTATTAAAAAAGCAGAATAAATATGCAGAAATAAGTATTCACTGACGATATCCTGAAGTAGTATAATTAAGTTAAAACTATTAAATAATCATTTTTATTGTACTACGTTTAAATAAATTAATTTGAAGGAATTTGTCTGGCCCATTTTTATTGCTAGAAAAATAATCTTCATGTATTTAAAACGCAGTTAAAGTCACTGCTTAGTTACGATTTGATAACTCATCATTTCAATACAATCTGTATCAAGCTATTTTCATTTCAGCATCAAAAGTTCTGTCTTTTAAAAACTCTTTCTACAAGTCAAAAATACTTTAAAATGTAATATCATAAATCAGACAAAAGTATTTAAGTTGCAAAATGATGTCATCTGAAGACTGATAATCTGTAATAAAAGTTATAAAAATCCGTTTTTTGAAAGCAATGATTTTACCTGACTGTAAATTCGACAGCAAAAAATTAAGATAAATGGTTTAAGATAAGCGATTTAAGATAAAAACTGAATTTTTAGTCTTCAAACAATTACCCTGTAAATTCTTCTATGGTCCATATGTTTAAGTATCCTTTCAGTGAACATATTTAAACGCAAATAAGATTATTGAGAATGATATGAAACTCAGATCAAGTTAAAATATCTTAAAATGTTGTTTTGTACTTAATAAGAAAGAACATACTTTGTGGTACTTCTTTGGGATATTTCGCTGTACATCTATTCAGAATATCTAGGAAGGATCCTAAAAGACACAGTGCTCCTAAACAGCCCAGTACACATCTAAAACATAAAATTGAAAGTTTAAATATAAAGATTAAACTATTTTCCAAATATATATTTTGGATCTAAATTTAAATCAATCCAATCTAAAGTGAAATCAAGTATAGTTATTACAAGATCTATAACAATTGCATTTGGAGCTCAAATTAATTTTCGACTATTTAAAGTAACTTTAAGTCAAAGAATTAAGATTAATTCTTAATTCAAAAATAATTAAACTGTTATAAATTCACTTCAGATTCACTTGAATTTTACAGATGGATTATCTATCTGAATGAGTTGCAAGATAAGCAAGTAATTTGAAACTTTAAATCACACAACTTTTAGCTTTTATATTAAAAACTTCCGGTTCAATGTAAGACACACTGAGGTGTGTGTCTAATATTGCTTACAGATCTAGTTATTCTTATGTATCAAATGATTCTGAGTAAGAGTAGATGTTTAATCTCAAGGAAACACCCAGTGACATTCGAGTGTATTAAGAAACGAAAATAAGAAGGGGCATACTGGCAAATACTGTTAGATATTGAAGATTTTACGTGAATCCTTAGCTAAAACTGAATCCAATAAATTTTGGAAGACCCAAGGAAAATAAATGCACCAATATATAATATTCGTGGATAACTATATAATAAAAACAGACCTTTATTAATAATGAAAACGTGATAGCTTCTTAAGATTTGTGTTCACTAAAAAATTTCAAAAAGTCCTTAGTCTGACTTATACCTAATAAACCAAGATATAGGAAGTGTTACTCAGGCTATTATGACATTTATAAATTTCTCGCGAATTCAAATGGAATACAAGAGCCTTAACGGCAAAATTTATAATTCCTACTGGGTAACAAAAAATGGTGAAATTTTTTAAACTAATGGAAAGACGAGAAAATTTAAAAATTAAGCAAAACTCAACTTTGGATTAATAACAGTTTTGAAAAATAACTAAGAACATCTATACGTAATAGTATGAATTACTTTTTTTGCTAAACCATCTTTTCGCTATTGGAAAGTGCAAAAGTATCATCAACTTGGCATACTCAAATTTTTTTGAAATAATTTGATCTCAAAAGGGCGCATTAAAATGAGTGCGACTGGTAACATATACTGACTTAAAACGGACTTCGTGTAAACTAATTTGATGATAATTTTCAAAAACAGAATGAGGTGAAATTAATTTATCTGAATACATAAAAAAAATATTTCTAAATGGCAGATTACCAAGACAGCTGCAAGAACAAACAAATATGAAGAGAACAATAAAGCTAAATACAGTCCACAGTATAATTTATAAATCTGTTTTGTGCCTCGCCTCCCAATCTCTTCCAGAGTGATCCCACATTAACTGCAGTGTCAACGACTCAGATATGAGGGATCCATTTCCTCATGAAGGTTGCACAATTTACAAATGCGTCTTGGGACAATGTTCATTCGATGCAGATCTTCTGAAAGACAATCATAGCCAGTTACAAGACAAACGATGGCAACAGATTTTTTTCTGAGTCATAAAGGAATGTCGAAAATTCTGCTAATCCATACTTCATGACTGTTCCTTTCAGCAATATCTTTCCAAAAACGCACCTTTGTAGTAATTTTAATGACTCTTTTGGCAGTGTAAAAAGGGGATGTGGTTGTCAGTTCTTTGAAGAATGTTGGCCCCTTTATTTCCCTACTAATCTGCCTTTTCAGTTCCATGAAGGCCACATGGTATCCATTGCATGATGTCTTCTTTGCCATTAGTAGCCAAGTTGTTTAGTAACTGCCGACATTTAAAGTCATCAATAGACACTGGAGATTCAAAAGATGAAACGGTTAGAATGAAAGCTTTATAATCAGAGCATGACAACCTTTAAACAATGATCAAGCTAACAGTTTCTATAAGGCTGTGCATATGACCGTAACCTCAACATCGAAAGCAGTTCTATTCCTTCCAACAGGATTGTAAAATAAAAAAAGCTTGCAAAAGACTCTAGGGCCTGTATTAATACTGTTAGCTAACAGAGTCACCCTCAATCACATTCACTCTCAGGATATAAAGCATTGATAGTTTCCAGAGACATTGCTTTTAAAATCTGATTTGTTTCCTTTTTGATGATTTCGTGTCACAGGCTAATTCTCACTGCATATTCTCTTTTGTGAGTTGAACATTGCGGTTTTACAAGATTATCTGCTTACCATCTAAGGCCTACCTGATCTTTGACGGAAAAGACTTCCTGGAGAAACAATTTCCGAGTTTTAAGGTTTCTCTTTGTCGGTAAGAGGTAATGGAACCACAGAAAAACGCAGTCGGGTTCACTTAAAACTTTTCTCATAGGATCAGTGCTCTGTCTTCCACAATGGATTTAATGCATATATGGTGTGTACCTAGTAAAAGTGCATTAACTGGAGTAGTTTTAATAGCATCAATAATAAATCGGAGAGCTTGGTTGTGAAATCTGTCCAATGTATCGATCATTCGGTTTAATGCTGCCACGAGGAGCTCGCAACAGTAAGTAATAACAGGTCGAATATAAGAGCTGTATGTCAAATTAAAATTGGTTCTAGAATTACCTCATTTAGATCCAACAACAACCCATAAAACAAAGTACACGAAGAATATCTTTCTAAAGAAAGGAATGCTTTAGTGAAGAACAACCTGAAGAAAGTGGCTCGTGTTTCCATCATACGTGGAAAAAACCATTAAAAGCAAGAGTGCATCTAAGCTGTTCACCAGGGTTCGCAACCAGGCCGAACCATCAATGTTACGGGGTTATTAGCCAATTAGCTACTTAGCTAACTGGCTAATAACCCCGTGGGGCAAAAAATAAAATTAATGTGAATTAGAGAAGCTTAATATTTTATTATTAGACTTATCAATTATTTAAAGCCAAAATATTCGGCTGAAATTATTCATTAAAGCGTTTACACTAGATAGCGCTTCACAGGTTATTTATTAGCTTAGTCTCATCAGTGGCATAAAAAGGGTATGCAAGGGATACAGCAGCGTAGGGGTCCAAGGCTTTAGACCCCCCTTTCGTATTCTGCTGAACTAGATTTTTATGTTTAAATCTGAAAACGAAATAGAAACAGGGTGGGATTTTTGCTTTCATAATATGTATATACATATTATTTTAACAGACGCAAAAGCAGAGTTTTGTGTAATTCCAGGTAGGGGGCCCTTAAACTTCCTTTATGTGTCATTCCAGATAGACAGCATCAAGAACTGTACAAATGTCAGTTGAAAAAAATACAAATACAAACAAAATAAACTGCATTTTATTATTCCGATTACTCGCGACAGGAGTGCTTTCTGATGAAAACTATTAGCGAAGAGGCAATATAATAATCGGGCTTATTGTGAAAGCAATTTCCGGGTTTTGGGAGACAAGTGAGAGACAAAGGTTGCAGAAACAAAACGACGGGGCGTCAGAACATACATCAGACATTCCATTGAACGCTGAGCTCAGGATGTTTCCATTATTGCTGCATATCAAATGTTTCTCCATGCATGAAAAAAGGTTACTTAGTTTAGGATAAAGATGAATAATGCTCCTAGACTCATTGTTGGCTGCACATCCGTTCCTGCTTTAGTTTGTTAATTAAATTATTTCCGTAGATCACAATTAGTATAAAAATTGAATAAAATTAAAATAAGTGAAACGTTTTAAATCCCTTTTCATTATAAGCAAAATTTTATATGTCAAACATAAAATTCGAGCTTAATTTCTTCATATTTAAATTACATATTAAGCGTGATTCTTCATCATGTCATAATTTCCATCATTAACATCAAAGACCTTCATAGTTTTCAGTTAAAAAGTTCTTAACACGTATGATATAACACATTTCGTTAGCTACCATATAGTCTGGAGTACAACACGCACCCATAATTTCAAACTATATTAATTTTTAGGTGTATTTGTCACATAACACACACCCTTTTGTTTACGAAGAAACCTGAAAGATACATGCGTGATGCTCTTATATTTTGAAGTCACTCATTCGAAGACTTTTCCCATGCTTTCGAAAAATGGCATACTGAATAAAAAGACGATAAGGCTAACAATACGCGTGTAGTGGTAAATGCTTGAAGGAGTAAATTTCGGAAAGAGGGTGGGTTGTATTCAATGCAGATGGACACAAAAATGTTATTCTACGGTTTTGAGAAAAGGAGACAGAATTTGGAGTAAGAATGCCCTTTGAACCCGAAATAATTCGGGGAATTAGGAATCGGATGTTTTTCTCTTTTTGTAGTCATTTGAAGCCGTGATTTTGAAGTGAATAGCAAGTGATTAGTAAATCACGTTTGCTTTAGGTGGAATGCAATTGATCTAGCGTTCCTTATACTAGAAAATATGGATTCAGCCAAACGACCCACCCACCAGCGACCAAGCGGTAAAGTCGCTGAATATTGGTAGTTCAGATCACGGCTAGTGTAAACGCTTTAATAATCCCGGTGATCGAGCTGGGTTCATGAGCGTTTACCTGGTTTTACCCATGTTCAACGTGTATTTGAGTCGGTTTCCCTTTAAAAGTCCACCACGAACGCATTCCTCTTCTTAGGCAGATAGTCCTCGAGTGCTTTGCGATAAATAAACTAAAGCCTGCTAAGCAAAACAACACAGTGCTGGTTTCAAATGCACATTCAGTTTGCGAAAGATAACAGAAATCGTTGTGCAGCAAGAATGTTTGGTGTTTATAAAAGATGGAATGCATGATTATTTATTGATCAGAGTAACAATGATGGTGAAGAATAACAGTGATGAAACAGAATTTGATGATGTGTTTGAAGATATAACAGAAGATGAACATAATGAAATATCATGTTATCCAATAATGAAAATTTTTAAGTTCATAAGGTATGCCATTTCGTTTAAATAAAAAGCATTTAGATACACTAAAAAATCTAATTTTTATGTGCTGAAATGTTCCTTATTTAAAAATATCACTTTCATATCCGGCACCCGTAAATTTCGATCTTATTTTTTTGTATTAAAAGTGCGTGTTATAAGCCGGAATACCAACAATTATGAAAGCAAAATTATTTGCATTAAAATTGCGTGTTATACGACGGAATACCAACAACAATTATGAAAGCAAAATTATTTGCATTAAAATTGCGTGTTATTACCAATAATAAAAGAAAGCAAAATTATTTGCATTAAAATTGCTTGTTATACGACGGAATACCAACAACAATTATGAAAGCAAAATTATTGCATTAAAATTGCGTGTTATAACGACGGAATACCAACAACAATTATGAAAGCAAAATTATTTGCATTAAAATTGCGTGTTATACGACGGAATACCAACAACAATTATGAAAGCAAAATTATTTGCATTAAAATTGCGTGTTATACGACGGAATACCAACAACAATTATGAAAGCAAAATTATTTGCATTAAAATTGCGTGTTATAAGCCGGAATACCAACAACAATTATGAAAGCAAAATTATTTGCATTAAAAGTTGCATATTTTAATTCACTCGGTGATTAAGGACAGGTTTTAATAAATAAAATTAGAGAAAAAAGAAACGATTAATTTTAGTAAATGCTTTATAATATAAATTTTTCAGGGCAAAGTTAAGAACATTTCTTTAAAAATTTATGATAAATTAACAACTTACACTGCAACGACAGAATAAGTAGGCCAAACAAATGGTTCATCAACTTGACAGGTAGCTACAGACACATTGAATCCCAAAGGTTTCGAAACTGTAAGAAAAACATTTTAAGCAATCCAACAAAAGGTAGTTTTTCATACTCGTTTTCAATAGCTTACCACTTCTTAAATTTCGAAGATTCATTTTTACAATTTTTGAATAACGCGTGTTTTCGGGATGCAGAACCAGCACGAGTTAAAGGCTAGGCAAAAGAAAAGTAAATTAAATGCCTTAAACATTATTAGGTTATTCTCGAATATTAGCCATTATTAAATGTTATATTCAGACTATTCTAAAAATATAGTATCAATAAAACCAAAATATACAAATAAGGGCAATTTTATCAATTTCTGAAGGTGTTCAGTACTGATTAAATCGGTTTACTTCTGCAGTTTCTCAATACCTGATTTTCTAAGTCGCATTCTTATTTCTCTTCTTAAGAAAGTATTCTTTTTCTGCCCACTACTGTTTACTCTTAACTGCTCTTTGTATCAAACTGCAAAACAGAAGTGTTATAAAACTGTTTAGATGAGTTCGCACTCTAAACGTTTCTAGTAACATACGGTTTTCGATCATAACTTGACACTTGCTGGATGGGAAGTACAGCTAAGAAAACCCTTACATTAAAATTTGTCTCAATTTTAGGAAAAGAGAAATAGGTAATATTTACAGTTCATAAATAACTATTAACAGAAATTTATGAATTATTTTCTCCCGTCTTCGCTTCAGTTGAATTCAGTTTGTAATTACTGAAAAATACTACTTAAACGAACTTTTCTTAGAATCTAGAGAAAAATATAACAACTCGGTTAGTCCATCGAGATATACTTAAAAAATTAAGCTAAATTTATCTAAACAGTCAAACGTAAACTGACGAAGATTTCAATGTATAATAAATTATTTTTCACTACAACCGAAGAAAATTTTTATCTGTCTATGAAGACATTTGTTAATAGCCAACTCCTGATATTGAGAATATTAGAAGACAAGATTTTTAAGAACTAACTCTTTCTAACTTAGAAAGCTAATAGACTGGAAAATACTTGAGGCAACCATATGTGTAATCCTAACATATGTACTTTTTCCATGTCAATAGAAAGGATAAATTTTGAACCGCATAATTTTATCGAGATTCAAAATATTGATTTTAGTATGGTGTTGCAGATAGCAGCCATTCTGAAACAAGGCTGAGGTTAGAGAAAAAAAAATTGGGAGTACGACTCCAGCTACCGACTGAGGACAGTAACCTAACATGACAATTCCACGACAGAAGGCTTCAGCAACATTTGAGTTCAATATCATCTTATGCATATAAATTACATTTACATAGTCATACATTTAAATGGCAATATTAACTTCCATTACGAAGTTTTACGAATTTGTAATTATAGTATAATAATTTATGAGCAATCTATATATCACAACACTTGTTTTTGCTTGGCAGTATTATGTGTATTTATTCCTATAACTACAAGAGTTAGTTTTGCCAAAAAACTGCTATTTAAAATTTATTTAATTCAGATAGATGGTATTCTATTATATCAAGCATTTAAAAACAATTGGATAATAAAGTCATCGCTAATCTAACATGGTTATTTAAGAGCTACTGATTGGCGGGAATCAAGCAGTCGATACTCATTCCACAGTTTCTTCTAGAAAGTAAATTGATCATATTCAAAATGGGTTTTAGCAGAAGATAATAGTTTTTGATTATTCGTGCCAATTAGGATTTTAGACGTAGAATAAAGAGGTAAATTTAATGTCATTCAACATAGAATTAACCTGTATCTGCATGATCTTTCACAAATACTTATATGTAGCACAAATTCTGTCGAAGAATTTGAATTGATATCACTGCCAGAATGCCCATATGTGAAATACGTACATCGGCGGAGAGGTAAGAGTCAGGCAATTAGCATATCAGAGGATTGGCTGACGCAGTTGCAAATTGTGGTAAAATAAGTCTTTATTTGGCTATAAAAAGACAATGAAACAGCAAGAAAAAATACGGCCGTACTCTAGTACTACTGTTCCATAGGACATGATGTGGCACGTTCATAGAAACTTTCCCAACATTCGAACATGCATCCAAGCAGAAGAAAGACAGCACATTATTTTCAAGGTTCACTTAACGTTTATTTTTCTGATTATACCCAATGGTAGTAAATGCCTACTTCTTTACAGTTACTTCGGAATCACAAAATTACTGCAAGCACGCCCGGTCTTTCTGTTGTTATTTAAGGTTGATGGATATAATCCACGCCATTATAGGTATAAATGTATTTCATTGCTTTTGACGGGAGTCAATCGGCGGGTAAATGGTTCAAGCAGCTGTCTAGAGCATATAAAAACAGGTCCTAACTGCAGAAAACAAGTTCTTTTTTTCTTTTGTTGGCTTATTTTCATCGACGTTCTGAAAGTATTTGCAACAAAGACATGTTTATAAAGAAAAAATAAAAAGATACATCACTTACCAACGGATGCAAGCTTTTGGACATCATCTTTCGTGCATGTGGATGGAACACATGTGCCAAACCATAAAGCTACTCGTTTCAAATATCCTCCAGCTCTAATTATAATATCAGCAGCCTGAAAGAATTGCATTTCCTTAGTTTGCAAGAAAATATCGCATTGTGGATGCGATACCAACAACTAGAAATCCCAAGGTTAGAATTCAGCCGAAATTTGCTTATTTTCTGTAAGTTATATACCAGTGTTTTGATAATTTTTGTTTATCACTGTTGTGTTACTACCTTTGTTTGTAAAAAGAATTATTTATTGAACCAAAGCTCTTTACCATCAACATGTACCCTATATGATGCGACTGATGTATAGTTTTAAATTTTATTTTGTTACATATACGTAAGTAGAGGTGAAGGTTTTTTGGTATACCATTCACTTCTAAAAGAAATGGGAAAAAAAATTATAGATTATTTTTCCACTACGATTTCCTTGTTCCTCTTTACACTTTTCCTATCGTTTAAGAAGCAATTCTATGCCCCTGTTAAAATCGTCTGAAGGTCTGCCGGCAAATATCTCTGTTTTTACACCATCATCATTATTATTAAAGTTCTTTCCACGAAAGTCAGTTGAACAGATAATCACTTGGAATTAATCTGGTTTGTAAGGGATCAGCGCCTTAAATCCAAATTGCTGTTTTTTAGTTGCATTTACGCGATGCTGTTTATGAACTGCTGGACAAAAATCTTGCAGAAATTATGCTCTTTCAGAATGCTTAAGACAGTTGTTTTAGTCAAAATGTTAATCACGGATCAATGCTTAATTTTCAACATTTCATAACAAACAATTACATCATTTTATTCAATAAACAGTCAAGAAAGAACGCATACGATTTTTCCAACGAAACCTTCTGATCTTTTTATTTATTTTATCCACTAAATGCCTGTAAGAGAAATTTATTGCTAAAAACACTTTTTACATGTGAAGTCGGAAAGTTTTGGATTTACCTACGTATTTTACGTAGTGATTTTGAAAATTAATGCTTAGTCTGGAAATTGTGTACAACATAAAATCCACAATATGAAACTGCCTCGCTTATAAAATAGTCATGCACTTTTGAAGGTATTTTGAAAGAAATAAAAAGGATTTGCATATTAGATACATCAAAACTTGGGATCTTGATGTTCTGAAAAGGTAACTAAAGCATATAAATTCCTTTATCGCAGTGATAGTCAAAATGGCCTTACCGCCCACTAGTGGGCGATTCAAGCTTTAATGCAGGGCGGTAGAGGCTTTTGCCTATCCGATGATGAAAGTGTGTTCACCAAACGAGATAATATACTGGTACTTTTCCGTACTTTTCCGTTTTGCCGGTGCAAGCGATAAAGTCGCCAATAATGGTACAACCGATGCCAAACGGAATATTCTTGCTGGTAACCTTTACGCCTCATTTTCAAAACAAGTCGCTGCCATTTCTCATCAGATTGATTGTTTCTTTCATACTTAGAATTTTTACCAGATAGTTCAATTTTATGCCTTAAGGCCATTCGCGGTAATTAAAGTCAATGAGGATGCAATCACACCGCTCACCCGAAGGCGAAAACATAGAAAAGGCAAAGTCTAGTGTTAAATTCATCCATTCTAATGAGAATGCATTAGCAAAGTAAAGCACTACGGTTTTACATAATTTCGGAGTAAGCTATTCGTACGAATTGAAATAATTCCTGCATTTAAACTTGCATTCCAAATTAAAACTTAACGTGAAATTAATGTAGGTAATTACTGAGAGAATTAGATTTTTGTAGCGTAGTTTGCGTGAGATGAGATCACTTGGGGTCAAATGATATGAACTGGCGAATCAGGATGCTGAACCATGAAAGCATACTAAATTCTTAAATTAACGCCTTTACAAATTTATTGTCTTTATTTATTGGCTTTTCATAAAATTTTAAACGATATTAAAATGTTTATGCCTTCAAAATAAATTCTTAGAACTAACATTCGCTAATATTTTTTATTTGTGTATATTTTATGTTGTCGCCAATAAAGTTTGCTTGGCGAGATTTGCGCCGGCGAAACCTAAAAGTACCTTTAAACCTAACAAGTTAAATCATTTCATAAGTATTGTCATTTGAAGAACTTCAAGTCACAAAAGAGCTACTATTTTGCGAGGGAAATCTCAGTGGAAAGCCACAACATAATAAAAATGAAGTACTCTGTACTGCTGTACGTTAGAGAACATATACAGTTAGTCACAAAAGTCTGCGTACAGACTAAATTTTAAATTAAAAAAACACTTAGAAAAATGTATTTTAATCATTGCATTTTTTTCTTCTATTAGCTAAAATTGTAAGCTTAAATAAAAAGTAAATAATATCAGTGTAATACTTTTCACATTTTTTCAAAAATATATTTTGTCAAAAAAACTCAGAAATTCCCTCCAATAAGTCTGCGTACACTTTAAAAAAAAGCAAAATATAAGTTTTTTTACATTACTTCAATACTTTGTAGGATATCCTTTATTCTTCAAAACAGCTTGCAGACGTCTGGGCATTGACTGAACTAGTTTTTCAGTGTCATCCGACGTAAATTTCGCCCATTCTTCCTGCAATTTACTAATTAGCTTATTTCGCGACGTAATATTGTGTTTTCGAATTCGTTTCTCCAATTTTGCCCACAAATGTTCGATTGGATTGAGGTCTGGTGACTGTGGAGGAGTACGCAACTGTCTTGGAGTGTGATAGAGGAGATATTCTTTCACAATTTTAGCTGTACGTTTCGGGTCTTGTTGGAAAATAAAGTTGTTAGAAAGGTTTAAATTTCGGGCACTGTCTGGTAGATTTTTCTTCAGAATATCCAGATAAACATACTTATCCATGACTTTATCAATAATGTGAAAATTTCCAACTCCTTTCGACGACATACACCCCCATACCATCACACCGCCAACTCCATGTTTGACAGTTGGATTTAAATTTCTCAGATTCAGTTCTGTTCCTGGTTTTTTCTATACAATAGGGTGGCCATTAACTTTAAATATTGTAAATTTACTTTCATCTGACCAAATTACATTGTTCCAGAAGTCCTGCGAAGAGTTTAAATATGTTTTGGCAAAAGCAATTCTTTTCTTTCTATTTGTCTCGGAAATGTATGGCTTAGACCTAGGTTTGCGTCCATGATAATCGGACTTTCGCAGCACTTTTCGTACAGTTTCAGGAGAAATTTCCTTGTTGCTAGTTAAAAAAATGTCTTTTGCAATGCTTGCAGCAGAAAGTTTAGGATTTTGTTTAATTCGTAAAAGAATTTTTCTTTCTTCTCTCTGCGTTAGCTTCTTCGGTTTCCTACATCTTGGTTTTACAGCAAGACTACCAGTGTCAAGATAGTTTTGAATAACTCTTTGCACACTAGAAAATGGTTTTCCAAGTGGTTTTTACCAATATAACGAAGAGTTTTACCTTCATCTCTCAATTTGATAATTAGTTGTCTCGTAACTAAAGGAATTTCTTTATTGGTTGTCATTTTCGTCAAAGAAAATAGAAATAGCAACTTCCAATCAACGTGAAATTTGCTTCGGAAGTCAATGACCTTGAAAGTGTAACCTTCTTTGCATTCTCAAGTTTGAAGTTTAAAAGTTAGATAAGAAATCCCTCGCCTCCTTCGCGTTGTACGCAAACTTTATTGGCTTTGATTTCTGGCCACTTATCTTTTAAAAATTAGTGTGCATAAATTATAAGATATGAAAATATTACAGTTAAATAATTTCAAAGTCCCTTATTGAAACTAAATATTTAAAAAATGAAACTTTAAGAAACTACCCTTTTCGCACCTTAAAATTTGGATTGATATTAACTGTATGTATTTTTGATACACTCATCTAATGGTAGAGGAGAAAATCGTGTGTATCTTCGATATATCAGTCTATTCAGAAATAATTCTCATCACATCATCTCAGTTTAAGTCGGATCACTGTTCAAACCATTTTTACCAACTTCTCTATCTTTAAATGTTTTATAAATCAATATTAGATACTTTTATGCGAAGTTTGGGAATAAATCATTTCACTTACCCATTCTGGTGGATAACCGTATGCTTCAACGTAGCTCTGACCGCTTGGTGTTTTCAGATACATGGGAGTTATCAAAGGAGAGTGATATCCAACCATACAGTAACGCCCTCGGAAAGCTTCCTTATTACTGTCTGAAGAATCATTCACTCGGATCTTTAAACATTCATCAAAAGAGCCAAAATCCATTACAGTTCCATCCAGGACACCACCAGGCAACTTCCCACTAGCATCGACCACTGTAATGAAAAGCAATTTTAATTTCGAATGGATTATTGTAAACACTTATTGATTGCCTTTTAGTAGTCAAATTTTTCGAATCAGTTCAGCTAGATCTTCGCTAGAAGACATATAGCTTCTTGCAATAATATAAAAAGCATTTCCAAACTAACAGAACGAACTTTAACAGGTGACAGAAAACATGAAATAAACACATAACTTGATGAAATGCATAATCAAATTGTTAATCTTTTAACTACTAAAGGAAGCTTTTCATTTTTCCCCCTCACACCATCTTTTGCAAAGAGAGACGTTGATTTAAAGCATAGGATCGGAAGCAACTCTCAATGAATTGGTATATGAAGGGGGAGAAGGTAAACTAACATTTTATGTAGTCTTACTAAAGATAATCGAAGAAATGTCCTAATGTTTTACCTGTGAAATGTTTCGATAAAACATACAGCGAGAGACTATACTTCCATTACCTGAACCTCTTCGATCAAGAAATGGATTGGTCCTTTTCAAAAACTCCGAATAACAACCTAACAACTTCTAGGAGTTCTTTGTAACAACTCCTCTTTTATGTAACGAATCGTGCTTCGCAGATGGAGAGTGAAAGAATGTTAGTTCTTCTGCCACCTTTTAACTCCTTATAGGCTACAAATAAAAAAAGTTTGCGTTATTCCTTACGTCGGGTTTGAATTACTTTTATAACTGTTGCATACCTATTTTACAAGTATTTTTAACCTATTTCATTTTTTGCTTATCGCCATTTAGCAGTATTTAGATAATAAGTAGACTTACTTTGCTTCCCTTATACCAGTGATTCTCAACACCTTTTGACTAACGCGTAATGTCCAAACAAAAATTGAAAATCTTTAGTATCACTACTACATTTTATAATTATTATATTTCAATTTCTCAATAGAAATATTTAAAAAATATATTTTGCCAATTCCACAAAGTATTGGCTATTTGTATTAAATACGCACACGTAAAAATATTAGATTAAGAATTGGTTACAATTTTAATTATCAATATTTAAGTTATATTACTTTAATTCTAAAATTTAGTGTGAAATTTGAGCCTGTTTAATAGAGATCAATATATTTACATTTGGTCTTATTTCACTTAGTTTTAACCGTAAATTACAATCCACTTTTAATGTTGCTCTATATTTGTTTTCAAATATAGCATGGAAAAAAGTCCTTGTTCACACAAATAGGTCGAGCATAAAGACAACAAAAATTTGATAGCTTTATTTAAAATGCCTTTATTTTTTTCCGGTTCATCTAAAAGTTAATAAATGTGTTACTTTTGAAATCTTTAGCTAGAGTTCGATCACAGGAAATTTCGATCACTTGTTCATTTTCTTCACGAGATAAAATTTCAGGTACATTTGAAAAAAATGGATTTCTAATCCAATTTTCTTTTTTATAATCCTCGGGAAAATATATGTTGAAATATATGTATCAATGAAAAACAATGAATTATTCAATGTCGTACGCTAATTCTTTTATTTTCATATTATTTTCGGTTAGAAAATTTTCTAAAAGTGGTAAAAAGTTTAAATATTATTACGCAATTCTGATTATTATCTGAATAATCAATTCTGATTATTTTTATCATTGCATTTATTTTATCTTTACTGCTAAGCAAACCAACACTTTGTCCTTTTAATTCTAAATTTAATTCATTTAACTTTCGATGCTAAACGCACCAACCATAATTCTCTGAATAAGTATTTTTGCAATTAAAATTTTGAATCACAGAGGAAAATTTAAATTTCTGATCGAAGTTCAAAACAACGATTTAAAACTCTGAACGCAACTGATGCATTTGAAGGAATTCCTTTGAATTTTTTCATGGTTGACGTGTAAATGCCCTTGCAGACAAAAACAAATATTTTGGAATAGCTTAAAACAAGGCAATTTTTATAGCAGTATATGGATAGCTTTTTTAATTTATCAAGAAAAATGATGCTCTTACATCTCCGGTGTAGTGTTGCGAGTATTTAAAAGCACCAAAGTTCTAAAGATTACTTCTTAAAATCTTCCTAGTTATTTTACAATTCCGATTGTCATAAGGAACGAAAGGCAGGAAAATAATCTAATTATTCATATCGTTTCATCAAAACTGTAAGATTGTTTCTATTATAATAATGAAGAAATTTATTTTTAGATCCTTTTCTTCCTTTAAAATGAACTCAGCCGTGTTTTCGTAAGAAGACAGACCTGCAACTCATCTGCATCTCATATCTGATGTGTCAAAATTGAATAATTTTCAAGCAGACATAATTCTATTATTTCTTTCGTATCATTTTTAAAACCGCTGATCAAGAACACTTCAATAATAGTACCTGGCGTTACATTTTAAAATTTCATTGGAGTTCCTAATTTCCTTCCTTTCTGATTAATTGCCTTATTAACTTCATTGAATGAGAGCACTGTATCAGAATATAAGGAGAAAACTTAAATGTTAATCCCTTTTTGTAGACCCCATGCCTCAGAAATAAGGTCCTCATCATAATTTTCCTTCAGCTCTTCTAAAGCACTTGTTACATATTTTAATCGTGTGCTAAAGCTTTAATGCTTTCATATAATTTCTCAAATTAGTTTCAATATAAAGTTTACATGTCAGTATTTATTAGCGTTTCACAAATTCAGAAGTTCACTCGTGAACACTCATTGCACCCCAAATTTAGTGCAATTACTAAAGATGCTTCTTTATCATTAATATTCATATTCCTGCTATGAGTAAATCAAGGATTCAAAAATCTCAAGAATTTTTGTGGTCCATCATCATATGACTAGTAATGGTAATTTGTAAGAGATATCCTAAATTCCGAGACGATATGAAGCAAAAATTCAGTGAAATGTTTTTCAGAGGTATCTTCGATTTCCTGGAAATCCAGTGATATATTCTTCGGTGATAACTAAACTAAAAATGTACCGATATCTAAACCGAAGGGTCTGGGGTTCGAATACCGAAGAAGGCATGGATGTTTGTAAATTTGCAGTGTCTGTGTGGCACTCTAAATAGGAGGCGAGCAGAAAGTCCTCTCTAGAGGTAAGGTGATACGGGAATGGCGTGAGTGAGTGCCCCGCCGAGATGGCTTCCGATCACAGACCCTCGGACGTGTCAGGCATTTTACTCCTAACCAAGGGTCTTGTCAACAGGAGTATTTGACTTTTTGCCACGATGAATGCCGTGGGCTTGTGCTGATCATTGTCAGACGAGTAAGATTGGTAGCAAAAACACTTTTGACACGTCTCCCTAAACTGATTTCTGCGCCTCACTTTCGATTTGTAAATTAGAGCCACTGAACAACATCTGATTACATTTTTCAAATACACTCATGTTCATAAATTATAATGCAAAATCTGGCAAAGGAAAAGTTAGAAGCAAAACAAATTTGACTTATTTGTAGAGCTTATTTATTAAACAAAAGGTAAAGAGCAAAAAAAGATGCTATATGTTTGTTATTATTAAAAAAACTAGCGATTTTTTCTCCATGGAGCAAATAAAAAAAAAAAAAAAAACGTATTTACAGAAAAACAATATTACATGGTTGGTATGATTGTTAATACATTGTATGTCCCCCGGACTATGCAATACAGTCCGTACAACGCCTAGGCACGCTGAGTATCAAATTATCGATCTGATCTTGGGGGGGGGATATTACACCACTCAAAAAGCAATGCTCTCCGAAGTTCCGGTAGACATATAGGAGGAGGTTGACGGGCTGCAACTCGTCGGCCAAGCATGTCCCACACTTGCACACTGCATTCAAGTCCGGTGAGAATGCTGGCCAGTCCATACGGGTGATATCCTCCGATTGAAGGCATTCGCTTACGATGTTTGCACGGTGAGGACGGGCGTGTCATCCATAAACACAAATTCTGCGCCCATGGCGCCCCGAAACAAACGTACATGTTGTTCCAGAATGACGTCCCGATAGATTTGGATGTCATGGTTCCAATTTGAACCCAGAATAATTCCACCCCAAACGAGCACTCCTGCACCACCTTAACGATGTCGTTGAATGATGTTTTCTTGGTGGTAACGGGTACCTAGAGTTCTCCATATGAAAGTCCGGCGAGAATCAAACTGCAAGCTAAACCTGGACTCGTCGGAAAACATCACACAAGCCCACTGTTGCCGTGTCCACAATGCATGCTCTCTACTCCAGGCTAACCGCAGGCGACAGTGAGTTGCAGTATGTGGAACGCATCTGACAGGTCTACGAGCATATAGACCAATCTGCCCTAAGGTCTGTACACGGTCTGCCTTGAAATTGTCGTACCAGTGGCTGAAGAGAGCTGGCGAGACAGGTCTGAGGCTGTGCTCCGCTTGTTTCTTTTGGCAGTATGCCAAATACCGGTCCTCATTCAGCGTCGTAACTCTGGGGCGACCTGTGCTGTAACGTCTACTCACATTACCATCATCTTGGAATCGTTGCCAAAGACTGTAGATGACACTCTGGGAAATTCCAAGTTCGTCTGATACTTCCAGTTGGGCACGTCCACATTCCAGAAGGCCGATAATTCTACCACGTAAAAAAAATCATCCAAATGTGTCCTTTGTGTCATAACTATTCGGTTATTGCACTGAAATGCTTATAAAGCACCTGCGAACAATTTTACTTCTTTGCCTGTATTCCTTATATATCACTTCTTACTCTCGTCATGTGACGTCATCGGTGACATCTGGTACTTCCTGAAATTGCATGTGATTCTTGAAGATGTAGTCATTTTACAGGTGATATATTTATTTTAGAGTTCGATTTCCGAGTGACTCCGAATTATCCTTAATTTATGGACATGAATGTTGTGATGACTTCGTGGTTTAATAAGGCACCATTTAGCAAGACGAAACAAACATTTATTAAATATATAATTCAAAGCATAATATAATAGTTACTCAGAGCAGTACGTCGCTCCTACCGCATAGTACAATCTACTACCTTCCTCTTCCGAGGCTAACATGCAACTCCTAATAAATACATTAACCCTTCTCG